ACGGGGGATAAATGAGTCTTCTGGAGGGACTTTTCGATGGCATTATCTCGTGGATTTATAGGGGTATTAGATCTCACCACTACCAAGACCAGCATTGTGCTAATTCCTTGATGTTTTTGGTATATGTCCTTGCAGGTGGCAATCCGAGCTCTGGGCTTTGAGGTGAGCAAGGCGGACGTGATTAAGATCATGAAGGACTACGACAGGGAAGACACGGGAAAGATCAGCTACGATGACTTCTGTGAAGTCAGTGAGTGTCCACCTTTATTTTGTTCAACGACATGCAGAAGCAACCTTACGATACAGTGTCGAGGAGACATCAATCCAGAGCAAATGCGGCAGTTGAAATCTGCTCGTCACTTTGAAAAAAAAATCCCATTTACATTCTAAGTCCTGACTCCCGGTTTGCAGGACTGAGTGCCGAAACTGCAAATTATTGGTGTGTGAGTGAGTGTAAGAGTGAGCACGCTTTGAGGTTCGTATGCGTTCGAACGAGTGCATGAGTGGGAATGTGAGTAAATGGATGGGTCAGTGAGTGAATGCACGTATGTTAGTGAGCGTGTGACAGTACGCGACTGGGTGAGTAAACAAATGAGTCAATTATTGTGCGAGTGCAAGTATTTAGGTGTGTGAGCAAGTGAGTTGTGAGTACTGGTTGATTAATGAATGCGCGGGTGAGTAAATGGTTGAGTGAATTAATTAATCATTGAGTGAGTTGACAAGTAAGCGAGCAAGCGTGTAATTACGCGAGTTGATTAAATTAATGGCTGAGTGAGAGACTTCAGTGGATGAGTGAAGCAATGAAGTGAGGCAGGTGGTGTTCACCTGAGTCGAGCACGGGTGTGTGCCGGTGCCGCAGTGACGGAGCGCGTGCTGGAGCGTGACCCACTGGACGAGGTGCTCAAGGCGTTCCGACTGTTCGACGAGGGCGAGTCGGGCCGCATCGGCGTGCGCGACCTGCGCCGCGTGGCGCGCGAGCTCGGGGAGACCGTCTCCGACGAGGAGCTGCGTGCCATGATCGACGAGTTTGACACGGACGGCGACGGAGAGAGTGAGCGGGCGAGGAGCCTCCCTCCCACAATTGTCTCTCGCACGTAGTCGTCAGAACACTTTACAGTCGGCTTTTTATCGTGTTTATTGTTTCATATCTGCAAAGACGGCCACACGATGAACTTAACAGTTTCATCCACTTAATCTGCCTACTCTTTTGGGAACAATGAGATTCAACCCAGGTCCTTCTTGCTGCGAGGCACAGGTGTTACCAGTGGCCCACCCTGCAGCTCAAATGGCCACACTGATGATGCATTGTTGTGGCCAGCAGCCTTCAGCAGAACGGCATCATTTAACTTGGGACATAATTACGTGACGCTAAACGCATCACGACATTGCATGAACCGGAAGCAAATTAGACAATTACTCTTGTTGAAACACTTTAGTGTCAGTGAGGCATTTAAAATGCGAATGTTCCAAAAGCTCAAAAGGCATTTCAGCAAAATGAGAATTTTATCCTATATTTATTTTCATATGCCGTACAGCATGTGGCCATACTTTGTGAAAGTAACGTTACATTTGTTTTCTTCCCTGTTTTGCAGTCAACCAAGAGGAGTTTATTGCAATTATGACTGGAGACTCGTGATTTGAAAACTCGGAATGACAGGTCACCGAGAAGATACTTTCTTTGTTACTTTTAATATATAATGAAGTTGCTTGAATTTTCCAACTGTGTGCCGTTTTGCGATATAGTGTTTGTTCACATCAGATGTTACAACTTGTCACGGTTATGTGTGTGTATGTGGAATGTTAGTGCCTCATTTACTGCACTCAACCACAGCGACATGGCTTCAATTCCCAGCCATGCACAACATACATCAGTAGCAAGTTCTATTTTTAATCAGCCTTGGGTCTCTTTAAGTAAACTCGGCCTTAGATAAGTACCTGGTGTGTATAATCGTCACCACTGGGCAGACTTATGCTGGCAACACCACCCGTTTGTGTCATGCTGGCCATTGTAGGTGCTCGCAAACAGCACTTGCCCCCTGTCGTCGATTACGCTAAATGGAAAAAATGGGGAACCAGTAGTGCAGCGGTTAGCGAGTTGCGTTACGAACCCAGTAACCTGAGTCCGATTCTCACGGCCAACACCAGCGACGATTATATGAACCGATTTTGTGCCTCCCCGAGGTCATATCTGCCTCATGAGTACCTGGTGCGGTGTATAAACATCATCTGTCACTAGGAAGACAAAGGCGGCCGGCCCTGGTGCTGGCCACCCACCCCCTTGTGTGCTGTGCCGGCCTTCCTAGGTGCTCACAGCACTGGCCTCAAAAGTCTATTAAGGCAATGCGGGCGATCTTTGTCTTATGTAGAATATATATAGAATGGACAATTCTCAATATATTTTTTGTTCATGTTTTCACTGCTGCAGTTCAATGTTTGCACCTCACATTGTTAGTGGGTGACTGTTCCCATCTGTAATATCAGGCCACCCAGTGGCAGTGATTTAATTAGGCAGTACCTTTCTGATTAGACTAACGTCGGAAACAGCCTACAATTGCCTTGAAGCAAATGCACATGTAAATCAGTCACGCATGAAATGTGGCTAGATCTGTCCCTGCCATAAGAAAGTGGCATTTACACCACTCAGTACCGCCAACTGGGATAAGCTGGACCCAGCACTCCTTTGTGCACGGGGACAAAATTTGACGTTTTAAATTATAAAAACAAAAGTGTCGAGCCTTTTGATAAGAGCTTTAACGAAAATAAGAACTGTTAAGGACATTGCCATTAAATCCACAGGCCAATGTTTAATGCCTCTTGCAAAGATGAGCTGTCAACTTCATTCCATTTGAGTGTTTTTATTCGTGTAACTATTCTGTCTCGTGGCTTTATGGGTTTATTTGTGGCGGTTAGAGCAGCTGGTCGCATTTCACAGCTGTTTCGCGTGATGAAAGACGCTAAACAGCTTTAATCTAGATGGAGTGTTGTGGTCATGGAGTTCATTTGTCTTTGCGATGTCACTGATGACAGAAATAAATAAATGCATTCAACGCGTGTGCTTATAAAAGAAGTAACGGAAATGTGGCTTGACCCGACGATCGGAAGCAATTATGAAATGTATGTCTCTCCGTGATTATCTTGACATGCCATGCTCTTGGTACAAGGCTTTTAACCCCCTTCCCAGAATAATGCTTGAACTTGTATTCATCCCACGCATTCACACCGCGTCATTGTCACCGATAATTACTTTAATTGGAAACACCCAGAAAGCACTGAGAGCCAGGTCTGGTGAGTATGGGATCTTGTCTCAGATTTATATGACAAAAAATGTTTTTAATTGCATACGCTTTTGTAAAAGGGAAATACTGTGGCCAATTGGTACATCCTTTAAACACGTATAACAACTTTTACCTGGCGTATTGCCACTTTCAGGCCACTGATCATACCTTTTATGGCTATTCCGGTAATTAGTACGACTGAAATGACAGTGCTTCATTGTTTAAGTATAGGTTTGGGTTATGTAAGAAGCACTTTTTTTTCTGTAGTTGATTCAGTGACGTGTATTTAACTAGATACTTGAAGGTATGCAGGATTGTAATTTCAGTGTGCGGCTGCGCTATGAATCGGGATGTAATTCCCAGCCACGGCTTGCATACGAACGGACGTACACCGGGTCGCGTGCGAGTTATTTGTGACGGGTAGCCACTAGAGGCCGCTACATTCAATGCGATAAAAAAGATTATTGAACATAATCCCCTGGAAGTGAGCACAGCCAGCAGAGGGCAGTGCTATTATAATGTACGAATTGCACTGCACCTCTACGACGCCCCCTGCCTTCGCCAATCTGCATTGACCAGCGTGGTGAGGTATGGTCAAATTACCACCAAAACCTGAACGTGGGGCAGCACTCATCCAGCAGTGGATGGGCAACAGGGCTGTACATTCACGTGTCTACCGCGCACATGTGCACAGCACACTACTGCATGATCCAGGTGTTAAAATTCATACACCTAATGGGTTCATTTTCACACAAGCAGCCACTAGAGGCCGTTACACTCCTTCCGTCCTCTGTGAATCTTCCAAAGATTACGGAGGACAGAAAAGCCTAATACCGTGAATGTGAAGAGGATGAATCTAACGAAAACAGGTGGGAAATTAAAAGAGGTGGATCGACAGGAGTACACCGAGGAATCAGAATATTTAGACTGGAGGAATCCGAAGAGCTGTGAAGCTCTTTTTGCGAATGTTCAGTATGGGCGTGTAGAGCTGAAGGTGGAAGAAGAGAAAGTGTGACCAGCAGGAGTAGGAAGATCAGAATGTTGAAAAAATTGGTGAAAGATAAGTAGGTGGGCCCTTACCTGCTATTGCATACCTGTCAACCCAGGGACATTGATTTCTCAGGTCCATATGGCGTACAGACGTTTCAATACGGGCAATTTTTTGGGTCCATTTGTGTTTCTTCCTTGTGATGGGACTTTGTAGGATAAACGTTGAGATTTTTTTAAGAGGCACGGGGTGACCAATAAGTTCTGAATTGTTCTGCAATAAGGTAGGGGGCACTGATAAGGGGTTGACGGGTTTGTGAGTGTGCATCCACATATAAAGCAAGCAGCACCATCAGCGTGCAAGATCACAGACAGCAGCATGATAAGTAGCATCATTGGCACCGATTATCAAAATTATAATACGTAAAGTGGTTTTTGTTTAGTAACATAATTGTTGTCTATTTGTGTTTCTCCCTTGTGATGGGACTTTGTAGGATGAACATTGAGATGTATAGGGGGCACGGGGTGACCAATAACTTCTGAATTGCTCTGTAACAAGGTAGGGCACTGATAAGCGGGTGACAGCTGAGATAATATATATTTTTAAACTCGTTTAGTTTCGGTAGGAATAGAAGAGGAGGAAGAGGATGAGGAGGAGGAAGGGGAAGGGGAGAGTCCGGGGTCTGGTTTGGAACTCGGCTCGTGTGGGTGGAGCGAGTCGCGCGCGAAACGCGGAACAGTTTTAGCGGCCCCGTGTCACTGCGGTTTGGTGACAGCCCTGGTGGTGGTGGTTGTTGTTGGTTGTTGTTGGACGGGAGAGTAAGGACCGGGAAGTTGGTAGCAGCTAGTAACGAGGCGCCAAAGTGCTTCGCGTGAAGTCACCGCCGCCGTCGTCGTTGTTAACCCGCCCTCACCTCGCCAAGTTGCCGCACAGATCGAGCGAGGAGCCCCTGGTTCAGAAGGTAGAGGGAGACAGAGAGGGTTTATAGAGAGAGACAACGACAACAAACAATCACGCCGATGCGACGGTAGAGGGAGACGGAGAGACGCGAGACTGAAAGGAGGGAAAAGCTAAAATTAATGAAATAAAGTCCCCTCACCAACAGCCTAACATGGCGGCGGTGGCTGCGCCCGTAACGCAGTACAGCGAGGCGTGGTATCTCTCGTTGCTGGGCTTCGCCGAGAACTTCAGGACCTCGAGTCCACCTCGGATCCGCCTCTGCGTTCACTGCCTCCAGGCCATCTTCCACTTCGGTCCCGGGGCGCGGGTGGAGGCGAGGACTCACCTGCAGCTGGGCAGCGTGCTGTACCACCACACCAAGAACGTCGACCTGGCCCGCTCGCACCTCGAGCAGGCGGTGAGGGGATTCGTTTCATTTCATTCATTCACCGGATTCATTCACTCGTTTTCTCTCCCCCACCACACCACCACCCACCACCACCACCTCCCACCGAGGCCTTTCGTTCTTGCACCCGTGTGGTGTGTCCGCTCGTACTTTTGCGTGTGCGTCATGCGGGTCCGTCCAGCTGTGTGCATTGTGCGTCCGTGCCTTTTGCTCTCAGCGACTGCTCGTTTGATTATTGTGTTGGTGACCAACACAGTTGTTGTTGTTGTTGATTACTGCTGCTGTTTGGTACTGTAATCGTCACAGGGAGGTGACACTGTGGTTGGTGGTGATGGTGTCTTTAAGAGAAGCTGACCAGAGTTTTGGGACAGAAGGGCCGCTGTGGGGGTAGTGGTACACACAAGTGCCAACGCACGCACACAGTAAGGTGTTATCAATATTGCGCTACTGTTGTCATTACTACCAGCACAAAATATGTTCATGTTCTGCTGTACTGTGAGCCAACATCATCGGTAGCACAGTTTAACTAACCGTTGATTGTCATCAATGCCAGAAACACTTTAATCGTTTACCAGCACTTACTACTAGAACCGTGAACACCTAACATCACTGGCAGCCCGGCATCACCACAGTTACCCAAATCATCAGCACTAACCACCACCACCAGCACAACTACTTACTATACCACCCACCACAACTACTTACTATACCACCATCAACCCTACCACTATCATCAATCACCACCACAGCGTTAGCAACGTGATTACCGCCACCACAACTACCATCAACATTACCTCAACATTACCACCATAAAATCACCGGTATTTCATCGTCACCACACCACCACCTACCACCATCATAACTATACCACCCTAAGCGCATAGCAATCACTACCATAAGCAACAACATCACCAACACCACCTCACCTCAACACCAATCGTCTGAACGCCGAGTCTTTCCCGGGTGTGGGGCCACTTAACCCGGCGTTCCCGTTAGACAAGACCGAGGCTTGATATGTTGGGACTCGTTACTGAGGCCGTCATGGCTATAGAGAGTGAGAGAGAGATACACACCGAGATAAACAAACAGCAGGGACAGAGAAAGAGAGAATGGCACACAGACATATGGAGAGGGGGGGGGGGGAGACCGAGCAAGAGGGACCGGCGACACTGGGTGCCCCGCCCGGGGTGAGGTGCACCTTCCCCAGCAGCGCTGCTAGGCAAGACCGAGGCTCGGGAATACAACATAGTATATATTAAATTATCTTGCGGTAATTGTCGTAGGTTGCATAATAATGTGGTGGTTTCTCGGTGATGTTGAAAGTATCATCGGCGGTGGCAGTAGTATGTGTTGGTTTCTTTGGTGCTAAAAGAGTTTGTGTGTGTGTTTGCAGTAGTTGCTATAAGTGCCTGTAGTGGTGTCAATATAACTAGTCGTAGTAGTAGTACTGTACATGTATGTGTCTTCATAGTTTCCGTATCGTGGTTAGTTTCTGTGGTCGTAGTAGCATCTGTGTTGGTGCTAATATGGGACTATTATTGTATATGTGTAGCGGTAATAATACTACGGTATATGTGGTGGTGGTAGTAATAATATTTAGTGGTATTTGTGGAGTGGTGGTGACTATATCAATATAGTACTGATAGTGTTATTATGTTACTCATCATGGTACCTGGTAGCTGTCATGGTACGGGTACTGATTATATTACTGATGGTAAAGGACGTTCTGGAAGTGTTGATTTTATTTGGTACCGGTGATGGCACTGAAGATACACAGGGTTAGTGTTGCCCCAGTCTGTGTACAGGCTTGGTCATTGCTGCTGCCGATGTGAGAGAGACCGAGGGAGACCGGTTTACCCCGGGTGATTGCCCCTTTTCTCAGAGTCACTTACCCCGGTAGGGCACCTAGGAAAATACCGCGGCTCCATTTGGGCCTATTCGGTCTTTTTGCGTTAAGAATTTTTTCCCGTTAATTTATAAAGTATTCTCAAGTTGCTTGTTAATCTGCGAGTTCTGACATGCGAGTCTGTGGGTCTGTTAGAAGGCATGTTTGTTCTGCTTATTCTTATTTCAAATTTTTGAAAGTGATTGCTATGTGGGAGGGAAATGCACTGTACTGTGTGTGCGTGGTGTTGTGTTTAGCACGGTACGACGTTTGGATGTATTATGCTGGCAGCTTTTAAGAGTCGCTTTTATTTGCGTTCACGTTGTTTATGCGAGTACACGTCGTTTTGTGAACGTTACTTTAGCAGCGTTCGCCCAGCATTGTTAATGTCTTGCCGTACATTAGTTGTTGACTAATCTCTGTCGGCTTATTGCTTAACAGGGGGCTCTATTCCCCTCGCTCAAATCCAGTGCATTGTATTAACTTACTTAACTAACAGTGTATATTGTCAAGGTTTGTGCATGTAAAAAGCCACAGCAATTATTAGCAACACATGCGTGTGGTGTTCTTGTTGAGGTTGGCCTCAAAGAACCCCAACGTAGACCCAAACTCCTTTCAACTGAACTCAAAAGCACACGACTGGGTTCCTTGTAAACATACATTTAATACAGTAATGTGATTTAACGATGTAAGAGTTTGAATGTTGGAGATATTTGTATAGAAATGTGTAAATGTTATATCATTTTCTATGTATTTCATTTAATGTTTGCAACCATTAACATCACGCCGATTTGATGTTTTACAATTAATTCTTTTTCCTTGCTATTTTTATTTGTCGTTGCAGTGGCTGCTGTCCCAACAGGTATCCTTTGTTGATATTTTAATAAGTTGCGTTTCTGTCAAAATGGGTAAGCTTTCGCGCCGCGTTTAAATATATGTAGGCCGTATAGGCCAAGGCACCGGCCTAGCCTAGTTTCCTCTACCGGGGAAGGCGTGGGGTCCCTTGAGGGATTTCACTGCGTGCGGGGGTTTCCTTTCTACGGTGTGTTTTTTTTTTCAACATATATAAAGTTTGTAATGCTACATCGGCACGGCACATTTTTTCGATTTGTATTACGACAAATCCGCATCTAGTTAAGACGCCTGTGTTACTTGGAGTATTTGGTACGAGTTATATCGATATGTGAAACAAGCAAATAAGCTTCCTTGTAGGGCACTCGGCATTGAAATACGGTGCTCTGCATTGGCAGTTTATGAACGTACTGTATTACATAAGTATAGACCAGTTTAAAAGTTATAATTTTAAGAAATCGAGACAGGAGGGCACTTTTCGTGGTGTAAATTCCACTCTTGACGGGCAGTTTTATCCAAAGGACAACCATTGTTGACTTGCCTTTGGAATGTGATGTATATGCTGCATTGCACGGTGAGGTTGTGGTGTTCAGATTGCCGGTGAGACTAGCGAGTGACTTCTTTGCCAGTGTTTGTTTTCATTTGAAATAGTACGCATGCTAGTGTATTCCAAATGTGACGGGTGTGTGTACAGTGTTTTTTACACGCACTGTTATAAGGACTCATTCTTGTAACGAGGAAGTAAACACGTCGAAGTTTTAGATTTAAAACTGTTTTAAAAGAGAACACGCAATTGGGTTTACTTCCAGTTTTTTTAATCGCAAAGATTGCTCGGTGGAGTTAATATTTCGGTTCATGGCTTACAGATGAACACGGAGATACTTTTTAGTTTCGCCAGAGGCAGCTGGGCCTGTGTAATGGGTAGATAAATGCTTACCCACTTTCCAAGGAGTCATTTCTTGACTGTCCTTTGAAAAGACTGACCACGGTCATAGCGATATGGACTTTCCAACACTGGCGTAGAGCAGCCATTTGAGGCGAGTGCCACTCAATACTTCTATGAGCAGGTAGAGTTAATTAATTTTAGATTGGTTAGGCATAAGATGTTGATGCTATTGCAAACAAATGTTTGTAAACAACGCAACTAGGCAGGTAAGCGGGCCTATTGAGTCCTCAAATTGCAAGCCATTTCCCCGTTTGTTGATTTAATCTTATGTTATGTAGGAGACGTGTAACGTTTGTGTGTGCGTATAGCCGTAGATTCAGCTTAAAATGTGTGAAGTACATTTCACGATGTTGAACAAGCTTGAATTGATTACAGACCGTTGCACAAAAATACTGCGTACTGTATAAAAGGAAACAACTTTTCACATGACCAAATACGCACGGAAGTTGACCTCTGAAGCACGCAGGGACATTTAAGTTAACCACAGCAATGTCATCTTTCGTACGCGGGATTTTAAAGACCCCTTGTTCCCACAGAGACATTGAGGAGATGGCTCTGAAGCCAGGCCGGGTAGCTGTACCACAACTGTGCGCACTGGGAAAGTTGTTGTAGTCGGATCCCATCGCTTCTGCACAAACGAGATTTTGCGTGGCGACACGGGGGCGTGTCCTGCTAAGTATTAAGCCAGTCAAGCATGCAGTTGGAAATAGTTTCTGCATTTTTTTTGCAAAGCATGCTTGCCATCCACTGAGCCGCTTGCTTTTCCTTTACGCTAAATAAATGAATGCCACTCATTTATCAAGGAAAGCCTCATCGAGTCTCAGGGCCCTTTTTTAATGATGGTGCTGAATTAGGATGTTTGTCCCAGCTCCTTTTCAAAGTGGGAAGAAATCGGACTACTTGAAGAACACATACGTATAGCGGGTTATTTAATTTAATACTGTGCACAGACCGGTTAATGGTCCCACTTTATGTACTGCCATTTCCGAGCCACCTCGCAGCACAGACTTGCAGCATACAATGACCTCAATTTGACCCACCAGTGCGCTGTAGCACAGCTGTGTGCCTTCACACTACGTTCAACTATAAGCAAGCGGATTTATTGAATGTCTGAATTGTATAGAAATAGTCTTAAACTATTGGTGCCGCCTGGACGTTTCAAAGTGTTATGAATTGCACGCTACAATTTGGCATGTGATGTAGGCATGGGTGAGGGGAGGCGATCTAAGCAGTAGCTGGGGTATGAAAATAATGGATGCGGGAGATTTTGCGCAGATTGAGGTATGAGATCATACAGAGTTGAGATATTTGGGAAGACATCGAGAGCTCGAGATCAATGACGGCTCAAAGCTTTCGCATTCTCTTTGCCAGTGTGATGTCAGAGTTTAGGAGTGCTGTCAAACTGATTCTACACTTGACGGTTTCTGATTTTAGGTCAGATAACTTAGCATTGGAAAATAAAGCACAAATGTATGGAGTATTAATGTGCAGCCTTTTTAAAGTATTGCTGTTTTGGCAAGATATGGCAGGGACGGCAAGTGGGTTCATAACTCGTCAGCCAATTTTTTGGGTGTTAACACCTCCAAACGCTTGACCTTTCTTCAGATTCTTTTTTTTCCTCTTTAGGAAAAAGAGGATGACGATATTTATATCACGAGCACTGCCCACGCATTTGCTCGGGATCCATACTCGTAGTGGTGGGTGGGGGGGGCATGGTAGGATGGAGGTTGATGTCGCCACCGTGCCCCCACTCCCGCGCCTTGCGTAGTTATTAGGCTGTAAGCGTGATGGCATCGTCAAGGAGTAGCTCAGCCTCATAGGGCGACTTAATCATGGAAGCCATAGACATTATTTAAGGTAACATAGCGTCATGCGGAACCAAACTTCCCAACAGTGCTTCCAATAAAATACGAGTCCTCTTCCGGAAGATTTTTGCTCCCATTGGCTTGCATTGGACGTTGTATTTAACATTTTTGGCAGAAGAACGTTAATTTGAAAAGGTGATAATTTTGTACGTATGTCCAAGTTAAGAGAAACATTTTTGTTTAATATTTATTTTTGTACGACCAACAGTGTGCGAGATACAGAGCGTAATGGACAGACACTTGCGCATTATATTTATTTAATTCAGAAAAGTTATTGGGCTTTGGCAGGACATGTCGCTAGAAAGGATAATGCGTTGTGGTTGAAACTAACAAGTGGTGTGGCAAAAGGAGGCACCATGCCTAAAAAATATTCCACCATGGAGATGGAGCGATTAAATCAGCCAGGTGGATTAGTGAATTCCAGGACCATAAAGAGTTAAGAGTTGGCTTTAGCTTGGTAGAGGCCTTCCTCCAGCAGTGGATATTATGGCTGATGGTGATGACTTGTTCTCTCCAATGCTCCAAATGCTCCTTAATAAAAAGAGCCAAGGCCTTAACACACCAATGCAGAACCCTCCTGAAAACGAGTTTAGACTCAGTAAGGTTGGTGGTTTGGTTACGTGGTGGCAACTTCTGCCCAAAACAAACTCGCCCTGCGGTTGGGATCGTTGAACTGCGATAATTTTTTGCGCTGTTGTGTGAGAAGAAAAAGTGAAATGTTTACTGGCCTTTACTCGAGCTGTCCCAGATCCCTTCATTCGAAGATGTCAAGTTTGAAGCGGCAAGTCTGCTGGCCGAGCTCTACTGTCAACAGGTAAGCGAGGCATTTCATTAATTCTCCCCGGAGCTGAGTGCGAACGAGTGGTATTGAAGTAAAAGTTCAGCATTTGGTTGGTAATGTGTGCGCTGTGTTGCATTACGCGTGTGCGTATGTACACGTTTGGCCAATTCCACAAAAATGAAATTTCAGCAGTTGTACAGCCAGTATATTTTCAGGTCTCTGTCACAGACTACGTGTACGTTAACTTCCATGCATGTCTACTTGTCTGCCTGTATGTCTGTCTGTCTGTCTTCCTAACTTCCCACTTGCCTCCCTGTATAACTGCTTGTGTCTCTGTCCATGCTTGCATCTGAACATCAGAACCTTGTGGACTCTGCCAAGCCGCTCTTGAGGAAGGCTATCCAGATTTCACAACAGACGCCCTACTGGCACTGCAGGCTGCTGTTCCAACTCGCCGTGAGTTCCCCATTCCACCGCACTGCCACCGGAGCCGCAAACACCACGCAGAGATATTTTTAAGTCGTTTACAGATCGTAATAAAATTGTAGTAATTTACAGCCCTTTGTCAGTCCATTTCTGGATGAAGTGTTCTTCATGCCTTTCAGTCACGGTGGTTGTTTGACCTTGCCACACCGGTCTGTGTAGTGATGAAGGGCGGATTGCGGTTTAGTTGATATCACACTCACCAGCGATGCTATCTGTGAATAATGATCGAACTCTGGTCTCTGGGGTCATCGTGCAGGGCACTAACCAACATGTCACCACTACACCCCATGTACGTACGATAATTTCTCTCCGTTGTACATCAATTGAGACGAGATTTTATTTAAGAACTCTGCAGCTTACAGTGTATCACCATGTTTCAGAGAACAACTCCAGAAGATGACTTCAGAACTACTTCTGAGGTCACTTGAGTTACGCCTCTATCCATGCCAGGGTCACACCTCTGTGAAGGGTGTTTGCTGCATAATAATCAAACTGAAATATTGAACATAATACATGTTTTTTGGGTTAGATCGCGTAGATGGAAAAATGTGTCGTTAAACATACCTGATGAAGCTAGTTGTAATTACTTGTGGAACGTCTTACTCGGATTGTAAATGTTGTGGCTTGGCTCTCGAAGACACCGGTGTGCTGTACTAGTAACGAATTGGCATGTTCTGTTTGCGTGACAAACTTTACTTATTGGTTGTGTCGGGTGGTGGCGGGTTTAACGACAAATTTATATATTTACGCGATCTTACCCAAAAAAACCTGTATTATGGATGATATTGGTCGCAAAAGCCTACGTGTTAAACTGAAATATTGAAGTCTTAGAGCTGCAAATCAACCACATTAAGTGAAAAACCTTATGTAATGTTGTGACTTTTTGTGCAGTCATTGGTGACCGGGCTGAGACAATCTTTGTGCTTGAGAACCCGGTTTAATCACAGGAGTTATTCATCTAAACCCATGATCTCAGTGGTGACAGCTCTGTGCTTTTACCCCGGAGCGACCTGTCCTTGTCTCGCCTCATTAAATTCGTGTTGTTTGTGAGGAGGCGGAACGAACGAACTATTTTTGTTTTACCAGATAAGGCCCACTGAGCTATGTAACTCTTTTTCAGAAGCGACCTGGCCAAAAATGATAGCTCAACGAAGTGGCTTATCAATGTGGAAATTTAGAGCAGCCATACAATCGAATTGCGTGATGCTGATTCTAAATGTGGAGGGAAAAACCGGAGGACCCGGAGAAAAATCCACGTCACCACAGGGAGAGACCAATGCAAACTACATATATACAGGCATCGTCAGGGTTGGGATCGAACCCACGGCCTCCTATATACCAGGCGAGGTAGTTGACATCTCACCACTGCGACAGGAGCTGTCTTGAAGCTGAGAGCCCTGGTGTGAACTTGCTTTTTTGTCTCTTCCTTCCCTCGCAACAGCAACTCCACACGCTGGAGAAGGACCTCATCTCGGCCAGCGACCTCCTGGGCGTAGGGGCGGAGTACGCACGGGTGGTTGGCTCAGAGTACACGCGGTACGTTGTGTCGTGACAGCCGGCTCGTTTCTGTGCAGCTGTGTGTGTGTGTGCCTGGTCAAGGCCTATGATACCATTAGTAGGCCTGGCCTCTGGGTTGTTCGTGCTTTCAGAGTCCCTGATTCTCTGCTCACGATCATTAAGGACCTTCATGATGGTTAGCGGGCCCGGGTAAAACTACGTGGCCGGGAGTCAGAGCCATTCCCTGTACACCTTGGAGTGCGACAGGGATGTCCTCTGGCTCCCACATTATTTAACATCTATTTTGACCACGTAGTTCGTGAAGCCTTCAATAGCCGTACCGGGTGAATTTCCATTTGGTACAGATATAATGGGAGGCTGATCGATGCCCGGGTGCGGTCAAGAAATGGCTCCCTATTGGTCAACCACGTTATGTATGCTGATGATTTGGTAATTGCTGCTCATTCAGAGGAGGAGTTGGAGACAGTGCTGCTGAAACTGGAGCGTGCCACTAAGAGGTGGGGCCTTACCATCAGCCCCACCAAAACTAAGCACCTGCCTGGGTATTATGTATCATCGGACACTCCCCCCCCCCCCCCCCACAACTGCCAATCGGTGATGGGGCAGTTGTGGAGAGAGTGGAGAGTTTCCCATACCTGGGCAGTGTGCTCATGACCAGCTCCGGTTTGGCAGCAGAGGTCTCGCTCCGAATCAGTCGAGCGGCAATATCTTTTCATCGGTTGCGTAATGCTGTGTGGAAGCTACCTGGTCTGTCGCTCCGCACGAAGCTTCAGGTCTTTTCGGCCACGGTCATTCCCTCCCTTCTCTACGCTTGCGAAACGTGGACCCCCCTAATGGAACATCTTCGCCGGTTAGAAACTTTTAGGCCGGCCTGCCTACGATCCATGCTGGGTTTAACCAGGCTGTGTTGTGTGAGGAGCTCACAAATCCTTGAAAGATCTGGGCAAAGTTCCATCGGTGAGCTCCTCCGGCAGGCAAGGCTGCATTGGCTGGGTCATGTAGCCCGCATGCCCAGCCACCACATGCCCAAACGGCTTTTGTTCGGCCAGATCGAGGGGGTTAAACGGACGCGGCACGGGCTAGAGAGGAAATGGAGTGATGTGGTATAGGAGGACGTGGAGCTCAGTGGACTTGCCGATGACTGGTACCAGCGGGGTGAAGATCGCCCCAAGTGGAGGAGGCTCGTGAAGGATGCTACTGGGCAGTTAGAGGCAGTCGCCCTTCAACAACAATGGAGGGCGAAGGAGCGACGCTCACAACAACGAGCGGAGTGCCGGGTGGCTAAAGCACAGCAGGTTGGCACAGTAGGGGGCAGAGGTGGTGCATCAGCCAGTCATCTCGGTCATCTCAGTCAGTCGACCCGTGGCACCTTGGTCTGCCCCGTGACACTTCACGTGGCCTCAAGGTGCACATGGCCTGGCACAAGCGTCGTGGTGACGTCACCCCCACTTAGTGGCGAATGGCGGTTGTTGTGCCTGTGTGCGTGTGTGAGCGTGGTAGTGTAACGGATAGCGCGCTGCACTGAGAACCCGGTGACCCGAGTTCAATATCCCACTCACGGGCATCACCAGTGAGGATTATCTGAACCGTTGATGGGCCTCCCCAAGGTCGATTCGGCCTCAAATGAGTACCTTGTGCGATTTCTAAATATCGCCACTGGGGAGAAACACGCGACCCACCCACCGCCTCATGAGCCATGCTGGCCTTCATAAGTGCTCGCTAACGGCACTTGCTCCAACAGTCTGTTAAGGCTACAGGGGGATCTTTATCTTTGTATTGGCACAGTTGGTGCATCTGCCAGTTATCTCAGTCAACCCATGGCACTTGGGTGTGTCCCGTGACCTGCCAGCAAACCTTTGAAACTTCACGTAGCTTCTTAAGTGCACATAGCCTGGCACAAGCGCCGTGATGACTTCACCGCCACTTCGTGGTGAATGGCGGCTGTCATTGTTGTGTGTGTATTTGTGTGTGCTTACATTTGTGCATTTTGGTGTGTACGTCTGAGTTTGTGTCTTTGTGTGGGGAGCGGTAGTGCAGGGTGACCCAAATTCTATGCCTGCTCACGCCTAACCTTGGTGGCATAAGGAGGCCCTCGTCCAGCAGTGGTTTGGCAATTGGCTGTACATGTATAGTTTGCAGAATTATACAAATCTTCATTTCCTGACAAGTGCACTTTGGTGGCTATGCTTGCCTCTTAATCTAGCACTTTGGAGACGAGTGTTGCTGGATCACATAAATCTGTGAAACTTACCAAAGGACAACTGGTTTGCAAAGGTATGGCAGGGGAGTGGATTAGTTTCCATCCGTATGGAAGTTGAGTAGTCCCTGCATCACACACGTGGGCTTTCTCCAGGTGTTACAATTTCCCGCTCGCATGTATAAACACTCGCAAAATAAGTTGGTCAAACATTGTGATATAGGACCACAGAGCTTGGGCAATTGTTGCCACTGATTGTGCCTGTCTTGCCACTCGCCTGTGCTTTCCCGCAGTGGCATCCTTGCGAAAACTGTACACATAACAAATTCCATGGCGATTTGAGATGCGATTTGCATGAGTGCCGACGCAAAATAGAAACTCAACATTGTTATGGAACATTGTCTTGTGCTGCTGCCGACGCGGCTGTTGCTGCTGTTGACGACTGTCGCTGTGATTCATTTCTCTGCACTGCAGAGTACTGTTCCTGCTCAGTAAAGGTCTCCTGCTGCTCATGGAGAGGAAGCTACAGGAGGTGCACCCCATCCTGTCGCTGTGCGGCACGCTCGTGGAGGGCTGGCAAGGCAACCCCATACAGAAGGAGTCGCTACGGATCTTCTTCCTCGTTCTGCAGGTCACCCACTACCTGGACGCCGGCCAGGTGAGGCTGACAGCTGCTGCCGTCATGGTCATCCTCGCCATCATCGCCATTGTTAACGCGCCAATTGTTACTGTATCAGTTCCCTGGTTACGGTGAAGAACACTTTTTCGCAACCAAATTGTAGCTATGAGATTCGACGTTCCGCTTGAAACTGCATCAATCATCTTCCGGTCAGAAACCAGGAAGTCGGAATGGTACGTTAAAACGATTGTGTAATTTGTTTCGGTATGGTGGGTGGTGGAGGGTTTCACGACAATAATTTTGACCACATCATTGCGTGGCCTAACCCCCTGAAAACATTTATTCTGAGTCCTGATTACGGCTGCAAAAACCTACGTGCCAAACTACTCTTTTTGCCGACTGGAGCAGACAAACCATTTTTTGTGTCCCCACTCCTTTGCAACGTTGTGCCTTTTGCCCGTGCGCTCTGCAGATGAAGAGTGTGAAGCCGTGTCTCAAGCAGCTGCAGCAGGGCATCCAGACGATATCCACGCTGCATGACGACGAGATCCTGCCCACGAACCCAGCCGACCTCTTCCACTGGCTCCCCAAGGAGCACATGTGTGTCCTCGTCTACCTGGTTAGTCGCTTCCGCCAACCCCATGTTGTTGTCGCCGATTTACTGCGCTCGTGTACGAGCGCTTTTTTTACACGTACGCTGTGTACAATTTTAGTAGCTCCGCCGGCTTCGTCCAGAGTCGGCGAACGGGTGCACACGTGACTGCAAACGCGTCGGCAAGGAAACGGTTTTCTTTAAGCAGCAAATTCCCATTCTGTGCTGTAGGTAAAAAAATTAATAGGTTTAATAATCTAAGTTTTGACATGCGTTTTGCTTTTATCTCTGTTTTTGGTTTATCTGGGCCATCCATCCCTCTCTCCACATTATCCCAGATAATGTACATTGTATTGCCTCTCTCGCATATAGCCGAATGAGCAATCTTCGGTGAAGCGGGCCCAGCGGTAGCGCATTCGCCGCTTGTTGCAGAGGTTCACGGTTCGAATCCATTGGCCACCCTGGTTAATACTGCGGGGTGTGATACCTGTCGGCTGCGCAGCGGACGTTAAAGGTCCTCCAATGTCATGCGCAAGAGTGGGCCATTGTGTGCCACAATCAGGGTCCACACTCTCCCCAGTTCTGATATATGCAAATTTCCTCAATCGGGATTACACACCGAGCAATCATCACCCCCTCCTGGCAGACTCATGCCCAAGGTCACCCTTGCAAATGAGACTCTCCTTGTCTCTTGAGTTCTAACCTAGTTATACAAAATTAACTATCCAGTATGCTGCCCAATGGCAGGTTTTTGGCTTAAACGCTCTCCATCCTGTCCTGTCTTGAGTTTTCGTCTTCAGGTCTGGTCATTCATTCCACAGGGGCACATTAGGATTTTTTTTATTTTCCACTTGTGATGCCAATGGGCAGATCTGCTTTGAGACATGCGAACTTGGATTAAAGTGGACATTGTTGTCACGACCACCACCACCACCATTTTCAGCAGCAGCGGCGGCGGCATCGTCTTCATCATCAACATCGTGTTAGTCATCATCTTCATCATTGTCAACAATGTCACAATGAATAGAATTTGTATCATCATCATAGGTTTTCACTTCGAATCGCCTAAGCACAAGCAAGAATGTATAAAATAATCATGTGATTGAACCTCTAGAACTTGGGTTTATGATGCTGATTGTAGGGACAGAGCTCTTCGTGTAGGACACATTGCAAGAACTGGCAAAGACGAGCCCCATGGCGCAGGATAGCCCATCTGGTGGCCAACCCTCAGTCCGAGGAAGGCTAGAAAATGTTCACTTTGAGATGCGTTTGATGTTTGTGAACATGGAGGTATTTTTAGCTTTTTTATTTACGAATTGCAACGAGTTTTTTTATTAGGCCATGAAGGTGAGACGTACGTTACGGTCTTCGTGGTAATGCAACGTGCGCTCTGGTCTTAAATTTTACGGTGCGTTAAGAACGGATATTTCAATGTTTAAGTGTAAGTGAGACTCAGCGCAGTTGATGTGTCCCACTCGCTCACTAACTCACCCGTTTTTGTCTCTCTACTGCAGGTGACGGTCATGCACTCGATGCAGGCGGGTTACCTGGAGAAAGCACAGAAGTACACGGACAAAGCGCTCATGCAGATAGAAAAGCTCAAAAGTGAGCACCCGCCTGTTTTATATATATATGTGTGTGTGTGGATAAGTGGTAGTGTAGTGATTAGCGCGGTGTGCTCACGGCCAACACCAGTGACGATTATCTGAACCGGTCCCGGGCCTTCTCTATGTCGACTCGGCATAAAAGAACCTGATGCCGTTTGTAAATGTTGTTACTGGGGAGGTGAAGGCGTCGAGGCATGGTGCTGGCAACCCCACCCACTCGTGTGCTGTGCCGACCTTCATAGGCGCTGCTCGCTAACAGCGCTTGCCCCCAACAGTCTGTTAAGGCTATACGGGGGATCTTTGTAATTGTTGCAGAGCGGTGGCGCAGTGGTTAATGCACTTCGCTACAAAGTTGACAATGGGAAGTTTGATTATTGGCCACAGTTAACGTCATTGGCGAGTGATACCTGAACCAATCCTACCCCGCCCCCTTCACCAATGCACGCTGACCAGCATGGTGAAGTTGATCAAAATAACTCACGACCGACGCGCCGTGATAAGGTCTTCATGCAGCAATGAATTGACAATGGACTGGAAATTAATGATACGTACTTACCATGGCACAATAATTACTGTGCTGTCACTGTTACAGTTAAACACAGTCATCAGTAAATCATTCAATAAACATTTGTTTGATTTGCATAATGCCGGATGTTCCTTTTCATCAGAACTATCGGGCTTTTGGTGAAAATGAGCTGTTCTCTACATTGTTATTATGTAAATCATAGCAAGAATTTTTTTATTTGTAATGCACAGTTTTCATTCAGAGGGTGGGAGTGTTTTAGAGGCGCCAGAAACCACATACATGCAAAAAGAAAGCCATAACCAGCACCAACAATTTCCCAAGCTTTCTGATCCTACATCAGGATGTCTGACCAACTCCAAATCTGACCCCGCATTCATTAAAAGCCATGCAGAGTGAGACATTGTTTCGGGAAACGCGATTCTTAATTTAGTTGTTTGTCTTGGTTCTTTTGGTAAAGTCACGTGACTTTACCGAAAGAACCAAGAAGATGAATCCCTGCAGTCACGAAAGCTTTAAATCGAAATGTAGTTGTTTGCTTTATTTATTAATTTGTGACATTGATTAAAATTTCCTGTGATTCCGTAGTCCTGGACACGAGTCCCATCCTCTCCTCCTTCCAAGTGATGCTGCTGGAACACATCATCATGTGCCGTCTCGTCACGGGGCACAAGGCCTTGGCATTGCAAGAGGTATGGCCGTACGTGTGTGTTGTCGTCGCTCGCTACGAACCCGGCGACCCCGAGTTCAATTCCTGCTCACGTATGTATGTATGTTGAACTTCTTTCGCACCGTATGTAGCCAATCGTGCTAATCGGAGGTGCGAAACTAGTAAGTGCTCAATATATGCACCGGTCTCAGGCTTGACTCGGCCTTAAAATGAGCACTTGGCCCGGTGTGTAAACATCTGAACTGGGGAGACAAAGGCGTATGGACATGGTGTTGGTCATCCACCCCGTTGTGTGCCATGCCTGTCTTCATAGGTACTCACTGACAGCACTTGCCCTAACAGCCTGTCAGGCTGCACAGGGAATCTTTGGCTTTGTTTCTTGTTTGAATGTGCGGAGAGCGGTGGCCATGGTTGTCCACACTTTGCGCTACAAACCCGGGGACTTGAATGAGTCCCCAGTGTCGTGGGTAAGCCTCAGCACTGGGGATACGAAGTTGGCTAGGTGTGGTTCTAGCCACACCACCACCCCTCATGGGCTATATTATTGGTGCTCACTAACAGCACTATGGACCCTGCGGACTGAGTTTGATTCCTTCCTAACTTCATCAACCGGCACTGACGAGCGTGGTGAAGTATGGCCAAACAAACGGCGTGGGGAGGTCTTCAGCCACCAGTTGATTGACAAAGAGAACTCCAAATCATTAGTTTAGGAGTAGTGTAACTGTAAACAATGTGTTTATGCTTGTAAGTAAAACCATAATAATGAGACTCGTAAGCTGGCATTGACCTAAGGGGGCTGTGGGCTGGACAGCTGTGCACCCACCGTTCATTGAGCTGCCCATTGAGACGGCGGGGTGTTATGATTTTTTTTACATTTCCGCTGGACTACAACAAACGTAACCCTGTGACGGCCCCGTGGTGTTCCTGGATGGCTCCTGCTTGTGTTGGCAATGTGCCCCGTGCGTTCCAGCGGTTTTGGAGACTTGCCAGGGTGTTGGTAGCACAGCTAGTTTGGACTTATCTGTCTGTTCCATATTTATGGGATAGTGTTGCCCCATCGCACGCGTGGGTTTTCTGTGGGATTCTGCGTTTTCCACCCACACGTATAATAACGATATCAATTGGCCGATAACACCTTAATATGTAGAGGACCCCAGAGCTTGGGCATTTGTTGGTACCACCTGCTTACTGCCACCTCTGAGTCGTTCTTGCTCTTCGAGAGCAGCAAAAACCATTATACTGTGCATCTATGCTTCCGGTTTAACAAGTAGGCTTTCGGCGACCAATATCATCCATAATACCCCAAAACAAAAAACCTGTTATGGATCTCTGCTTCCACCGTCTTTTACCAACTTGCACTGTCCAGCGTGGTGAAGTATAGTCAAATAATCCCCACGCCCTGTGCCGTTGTGGGGAGTCCATCACCCAGCATTGCATTGACAAAAGGGCTCTACATGTACAATTAGTCATTACTGTAACCCAGGTAGGATGGAAGAGCCATGCCCTCCTGGTGTGCGAGTCAGTAAAGTCAAAGCTGATCTAAAGTTTTTGTTTTACATTCGAAAGAAACTCCGTTGTAAAACTGTCGCTCGGCAAAGAAAACGCATTGGCCGGGCGGACGTGAAAATGTTCTTTTATTGCTCTGGTGGAACGGATGGAATTGACGCCGTCTCGTGTTGTGTTTGTGTGCGTCTGCAGATCTCGCAGGCATGCCAGCTGTGTCAGCAGTCTCCCCGGCTCTTCTCGAATCACGCCGCACAGCTGCACACGTTGCTGGTAAAAACCTCAGCCTCCCCGTTGCCACGGTGGTTGTAACATGGGGGCGAGATGTTAATTCCCTCGCCTGGTATGCAGGAGGTCATGGGTTCGATCCCGACCCTGATGCCTGTATATCTGGAGTTTGCATGTTTCTCTGTCCCCGTGGTCGCTTGGATTCTTTCTCCGGGTCCTCTGGTTTTCCCCTCCACATTTAGAATCAACATGCGTTTAGAATATTTGACTGCTATAAATTTCCACATGAAAAGCCCATTTTGTTTAGCTATCATTTGTGGCCAGGTTGCTTCTGAAAAAGAGCTTTATAGCTAAGTAGTCCTTACCCGCTAAATAAAAAAACAATTTAGTTTTGGTTTAACACATCCAACCAGTAGCTTATTACATCCACGTGTGTCGTCTAGAAAACCCCGTGGCTGGCATTGATAGCTTTTGCCAAGTTGGGGCGTTCAACATTTAAGCGCATGACGCGCTTTGCCAAAAAAAGAGAAGGAACAAGCTGGTGAGGGTTTACAGGGAAGTTGGACAAGTGAGGCAACTCTTTCCCTCGGCGTCTCACAGACAGACATCCCAGTAATGCGCAGGGGGGTGTCGTTTTGAAGGTGGCTCGCTATCGCTTTGACAGGCATGGATGTTTTTTTTATGGAATAAGGCGATTGTTTGACAAATACACAAAACGGAGTGCATCATCACCATCCCAGTGCGGTATTTCTCCCTTAATGGGTTAGGTGGACAAATTAATCTAATCTGAATTACAGGCCCAATTGGTTGTATATGTATATATGTTGAACTTCCTTCGCACCGTACATCGCCAACCGTGCTAATCAGAGGCGCGAAATGTGTTACTTGAATGGCTGACGTAATATGCGCGAGTACACAGCCACTTCAGTAAATTATCCATCAGTTGTTCAATGCCCTCAAACCAAGGCACAGCTGTTAATGTTTACAACTGGAGAGGCCTAACGACGGTAACGATTGAAATTGAGAGGTCATCAAGGATAATGCCGTTCGTCCCACCATACTTCATCGCTTGCTGCCTGCTGACAGATCCCGCAAGTTGTAGTGCAACCATGAATGAACCGATTACAGTCCCACCAAAGGCAAAGATCCCTCGAATAGCCTTAACAGACTGTTGGGGCAAGTGCTGTTATTGAGCACCTATGATGGCCACCATGGCACACGAGGGAGTGGGTGGCAAGCACCACGCCCGGCCGCCTTTGTCTCCCAGTGGCGATGCATATACACCGCACCAGGTACTGATTTAAGGCTGATTCGACCTAGGGGAGGCCCAAGACCGGTTCAGATAATCGCCACTGGTGTTGGCCATGAGCAGGATTCAAACTCTGGTATCCAGTTTCGGAGCGGAGCCAGCCAACCACTCCACTACCGCTCCCCATTCCCACCACCACCACCACCTCCTACACCACCGCCCAATGCCGCTATCGGGCTTGAGGCCTTAATTTCCGGCACCGTGAACATTCTCAAACTCGCACAAAGTGTTTGGCCGCTTTGTGTGTGTGCGTTTTTTCTGCTTTGTCTGCGTGAACGTTTTGTATTGCTGCTGATGGAGTGACACCTGCATGATACCGACCTACCTACATTGTCGTGTTGCTGATGATTGGGCGACAGGATGGTGTAGTGTTAACATCTAGTGCCTCGACTCCGACACATTTCTGCAGTTTCCTCCCATAGCTAATAAACATACAGTCTAGCTTTCATTGGCCAAAATCCACGTGCTGAAAAATTATACCAACAAGTTAATCAGTTGGGATCATACACAGCAACAGCGGCGAAGTCGCTCCCCCAACTGCGAAAAACTTGGCAGAACCCTCCTGAAAAAGAGAGTTGAGACTCGGTGAGGCTTTCCTGGATAGACGAGCAGAATAATAATAATGATGATGATAAAGAAATTGACACCTACACGTTGGTATTGTCGTCTCTGCTGCAGGGTCTCTACAGCGTCTCCGTAAACTGCATGGAAAGTGCAGAAGCCCAGTTCACGACAGCACTCAGGGTAAGTGAGAAATCACAGTGGCCGGAGCTGCCACCACGCGCAATGCTTTTGTCTGTCAAAGGATCGCCGGAGCTGTGCCGCTTTGAGAAGGGAGGCTCTTTGGAATTGTCTTTCAGCATTCAAATTAACCCAGGCGATCAGCCTAAGTCGTCTTCTTTTTCTTCTTTCGTATGGCGGGATAAACAACAGTTTTGAAACATGTTGGACTTAAATGCTTACACTTTTTGCAACCGATACAATGAGACAGCAGTAGATGCTACGGATAGCAGCGACACCACCACGGTGGTGAGACGTGAACTACCTCGTCTGGTATACAGGAGGCTGCGGGTTCGATCCTGACCCTGACGCATTTATATTTGGAGTTTGCATCTTCTGCCTGTGGTCGTGTAGATTTTTCTGCGGGTCCTCCGGTTTTTCCCTCCACATTTAGAAACGTGCATTTTAAGAGTATTTGGGTGCTGATGATAAGCCACTTCGTTGACCTATCATTTATGGCCAGGTCGCTTCTGAAAAATCTATATAGCTCAGTGGGCCTTAGCTGTTAAAATAAAAAAAAAAAGTTGAATCGTTGAAAATGTTGCATGGATGGTGCATTCGTCGGCAATGCGTTGGATGGTTTGGACTTCACCACTGTCGCGGTTCGGCGATTCCTTGACGTTCCATTTGTGGAATGTGTGCGCGCATCTCCCACGTTGCGTTCGAGCGTGCGGTTTAGTGAGGGGGATAGAGAAAACCCGGTACTTGGACTCTGATCGGATGCAAAGTACAGTGAGGGAAAAAAGTATTTGATCCCCTGCTGATTTTGTACGTTTGCCCACTGACAAAGAAATGATCAGTCTAGAATTTTAATGGCAGGTTTATTTGAACAGTGAGAGACAGAATAACAACAAGAAAATCCAGAAAAACGCATGTCAAAAATGTTATAAATTGATTTGCGTTTTAATGAGGGAAATAAGTACGTGACCCCTCTGCAAAACATGACTTAGTACTTGGTGGCAAAACCCTTTTTGGCAATCACAGAGGTCAGACGTTTCTTGTAGTTGGCCACCAGGTTTGCACACATCTCAGGAGGGACTTTGTCCCACTCCTCTTTGCAGATCTTCTCCAAGTCATTAAGGTTTCGAGGCTGACGTTTGGCAACTCGAACCTTCAGCTCCCTCCACAGATTTTCTATGGGATTAAGGTCTGGAGACTGGCTTGAGCCACTCCTTTGTTGCCTTGGCCGTGTGTTTTGGGTCATTGTCATGCTGGAATACCCATCCACGACCCATTTTCAATGCCCTGGCTGAGGGAAGGAGGTTCTCACCCAAGATTTGACGGTACATGGCCCTGTCCATCGTCCCTTTGATGCGGTGAAGTTGTCCTGTCACCCCCAAAGCATAATGTTTCCACCTCCATGTTTGACGGTGGGGATGGTGTTCTTGGGGTCATAGGCAGCATTCCTCTTCCTCCAAACACGGCGAGTTGAGTTGATGCAAAAGAGCTCCACTTTGGTCTCACCTGACCACAACACTTTCACCCAGTTGTCTTCTGAATCATTCAGATGTTCATTGGCAAAGTTCAGACGGGCATGTATCTGTGCTTTCTTGAGCAGGGGGACCTTGCGGGTGCTGCAGGATTTCAGTCCTTCACGGCGTAGTGTGTTACCAATTGTTGTATTGGTGACTAGTCCCAGCTGTCTTGAGATCATTGACAACATCTTCCCGTGTAGTTCTGGGCTGATTCCTCACCGTTCTCATGATCATTGCAACTCCGCAAGGTGAGATTTTGCATGGAGCCCCAGGCCGAGGGAGATTGACAGTTCTTTTGTGTTTCTTCCATTTGCGAATAATCGCACCAAATGTTGTCACCTTCTCACCTAGCTGCTTGGCAATGGTCTTGTAGCCCATTCCAGCCTTGTGTAGGTCTACAATCTTGTCCCTGACATCCTTGGAGAGCTCTTTGGTCTTGGCCATGGTGGAGAGTTTGGAATCTGATTGATTGATTGCTTCTGTGGACAGGTGTCTTTTATCCAGGTAACAAGCTGAGATTAGAAGCACTCCCTTTAAGAGTGTGCTCCTAATCTCAGCTCGTTACCTGTATAAAAGACACATGGGAGCCAGAAATCTTTCTGATTGAGAGGGGGTCAAATACTTATTTCCCTCATTAAAATGCAAATCAATTTATAACATTTTTGACATGCGTTTTTCTGGATTTTCTTGTTATTCTGTCTCTCACTGTTCAAATAAACTACCATTAAAATTATAGACTGATCATTTCTTTGTGAGTGGGCAAACGTACAAAATCAGCAGGGGATCAAATACTTTTTTTCTCTCACTGTAAGTGGGCTTGGGCAGAACAGGACACGACAAGGGGCGATGGGTTGGTGATGGTGGCTAATAAGGAAGTGACAGCCAAAGGAAGTGAATGCGCCCCGTGAGGACATCCACAACGAGGAGGGGATGGAGCGATGAGACCGGCTTGTGTGGCGCAGCGAGATGGCATGCCGCGTCGTGCGTCTGTATGGTGTTAGCTTGGAGAGGCCTTCATCCAGCAGTAGGTAATATGACGTCTCTGTGTACACTACCCTATTGTGCCACAATACATATCTGCAAGCATTTGAGGAGCGATGGGAAAGTAGCCGGCACACTGCTACAAACCAGGCAACCTCGGTTACATTCTCGGCTATGGTGAGCAATATCAGAACCGGTCCTGGGCCTCGCCATGGTCGATGCAGCCTTCAACGAGTACCTGGTGCAGTGTGTAAACATCAGAACAGGGGAGACAAAGGCGACTGGGCAAGTTTTATGGCCACACCTACCCCGTTATGTACCTTGACGGTGTTAATAAGTGCTCGCTTAATAGCGCACGCCCCAACAGTGCTTGTGACTAAATGGAGTGTCTTTGCATACGTTCGTCTTTCCAGTTGACGTCGCACCAGGAGCTGTGGACGTACATCGTAACGAACCTCGCAAGCGTCTACATCCGGGAGGGCAACCGGCACCAGGACGTGAGTGGCGTCCAGTAAAATATCACCACCTCGTCAGCCCGTTAACCTACCTGAGATGCCGTGCGTGCGTTCGCCTCCCGCCGTTGGTGCTGATGACATTCATTTGCAAGTTTCCAATTGATAAAGGAATGTCTTTTATTTTTTTTTGCAGCTGTACACGTTATTGGAAAGGATAAACCCGGACCACAACTTTCCAGTAAGGTGAGTCGAGAGTTACGAATTCAAAAAGCGCAAGTGGCTGTAACACGTGTACGTTTTTGCGGTCGCTTGTAATCCGAAATGCGGTTCTCTGGCATGAGCAGCTTGTAGGGCATTGTTTCTTCTCTCGAGCTTTCGGCAGCAGTTGAATGACAACTGAAGTTGGCTACAGGAGTGCGTGAAAAAAGCTTGAACGAAGAAATACATATTTACATATTTCCCTTTATGAACGTATGTCAAACTCCTTTCGCACTATACGTAGCTAACCGTACTAATCGGAGGCATGGGGGAAGGACGACAAACTAAACACATAGCAAACCATCATTGTCAGCACCCATCGCTAACATCACGACCCATCGTCACCACCCATCATGACCACAACGCGGCGGTAGTCGATGCGTTCCAACAAAAAGCGAAACCGCACGAGGAGACGGCTGTCTGCCGAGTAGCGTGCACGGTATACACACAGCACACACAATACAAACACAGTACGCACACAACGTCCCACGTCTTGCCGCATAGCCGCATGTAGAGTGAATTCAAACTGCAGAGTATCGCGAATTTTTGTGAAAATAGTTTAGCCAATATATACAGCGCGAAATAGCACAAACCTAACCGGCGTAGAGCAAGGGAAAGCTGTACTGCTAAAGGCGCAACGCAGCACCGAAAACTTGGATGCACAAGTGGATTTTTTGACAGCACGTGCACAGCGATTTGCCTACTTGGGAATTTTGGCTCAATTTTATCCGGACTGTGCTATCGGTGTCACGTCTTGAGACGAAGAATCCATTTGGAACTCTCAGCAGTGCAACCACACTCGCACTGGAGAATGGCCCGCTGAAATGGATATCTCAGAGCTACCTCTGAATTCCTTCGAATTGAACTCTGGTCCAATTTCTTGGGGTGATGGATCGCGACACCTAGAGGAGCATTCGAAACGACCCATTGATGGCTCAGCAACTAACTCCCGTCACTGAGAGTATTGGTCATCGCATGAGAGTCAAACCAATGTTTTACATTGTCGGAGCTCAAATTTAGCCACATTATTTGCATAACCAAGTAGGATGTGACAGATTTTTTGCTTGGTCATTGGTTTCCCAGCTGCAACCACAATCACAGCTGGTTTAAAATTCAGGATCTCAGTGGTGGGAGCTTAGTGCTGTGACCTATCAGCTACCCAGCTATATTATTGGCAATTATTGTTTTCGTTGAAAATGGCTGTCATACTCAGAGATTTGTACTATGAACAAAAAATGATCTAAGCCACCAAAAAAAACCACAATCAACCTTTGGCATATGAAAGTTTCAAATTTTCACTCTTAGTTTCTTCAGCAAACCATAGCCACTCGTATAATCTTAGTTACGATGATGAAGTTATGTTATCATGCTTAACCAGATGAGAAGCGACCCAGGGTGGTCTCAAGAGTGACCTGAATGTAACTGACATAGTTGTAGAAAAAGACAGCTGTTAAAACATTGCGGCTCAGCCGCTTTCGAAAGTTTTTTAAAAATAAATTATTTCTTGCCACGCACAATATAGAGATTGTACAAGCAAGCGTGCTCTTACAGACTAGAGTTCATTACAGCATTCAAGTGTACCTATGTCATCGTTGTGGGTCATTGTCTCTCCACTGCTGGATGATGGCCTCTCCCCATGCTATCGTAATCTGTTACTCTCTTGCGTTGCCGTAGTCCATTTCCCTCTTACACATGAGCTGGTCTCATCGCTTCATATTCTGTGCTGTTCATCCTCTTGTGGCGCGTTATCTCTTTAGTCTGCCATTCTCTCACCACTCCCATCCATCGGCCATCATCATCCCGTCTCGCGATAGTGTCCTGCCCAAGTATGCTTGGGCAGGACATCATAGCGACTGTATTTTTAACAGTCGCTATAATGTCGATTATTTGTGTGTTTTCTGGTCCACGTGCTCCTCTGTCTTGGTGTAGTCCCCAATGGCGTAGCTCTCCGTGCTTCTCTGTGCCCTTTTCAGCTTTAGTTTAACTTTCTTTGTCGGTGTCCACGATTTCCATCCACACGACATAGCAGGCCGATACACACACGTCGATAGGTGCCCTTCACAGCCTGGGCCCATCCTCGCCCGATAATCACTGTGATTTCCGCACGCTCACAAAGGGGGACCAATAATTGCACGCTTGTGGATAAAGGAGGGTGGCAATTCCCATTGCACGGATTTGCACCACCGTGTAATTAATTTTCGCAGGCGGTTGTGACGGCACGCTGACATTGATTGGAGCAGTGTAGTTCACTTTTTATAGATTTAAAAAAATATATTTAATTCCATCCATTTGCAGAACACCAACGTGCATTTGTTCCACTATTTAGCATGTTTTTTCTTCTACTTCTGTGTGCGCCACCTGCGCTTCAGGGGCTCATGGCAATGAGACTCCAGCTGATTCTGATCCTGCATTGCTCAGACACTCCTGGTCACTGCCCGCATGTGACCAATTAAACTACGACTGCTATTTTTATTTTACGACTTTTTATTTGACGACTGCCGTTTTTATTTTACCACCGAAGGCCCACTGAGCTATATAGTTATTTTTCAGAAGCTACCTGGCCACAAGTTATTCCTCAACAAAGTGGCTTATCACGTGGACATTTGGAGCAGCAGCCAGCTACTCCAAACACACGTTTCTAAATGTGGAGGGTAAAACCGGAGGACCCGGAGAAAAATCCACGCGACCACGGGGAGAACACGCAAACTCCAAATATACAGGCGACAGGGTCAGGATCGAATTAACGACCTGTATACCAGGCCAGGTAGTTAACGTCTCGCCACCGTGGCGTCCCCAAATTGTTTGACGTCATCCAAACAAACTCACGCTGCTATCTCTCCATCGTTTCCTCGTTCTTTCCCGTCGTGGAGTTGCCCAAGAAAGGTAACCGTGCCGACATGGTCTCCTGAGTAAACTAAGGGAATTTAATATTGTTAAATGAACACGTGACCCAATAAAACGCACTGCCCTTGTAGCATTTTCATTCAAGTCACAAACTCTTGTCTTCCAACATATTTTGATGTCATATCATATATACTACGAGCAGCCCTGATAGCCCTTTAAAAAAGTTGGGCGTTTAATAATTTTTCATGTAAAGTACTGTTAGATGAAAAATGGGGAAAGAAGCTGGCAGTTGAGAACGTGTGAGTTTCCGTCACGCTAACGGGGCAGTTCCGCAAATTAGGCAGCCCTCACAGTGAACAATACACAATGGGTGTCATTTTGAAGGTAAGTTTATATCGGCTAATAAAACGTGGCTTGTTTTTTTTTAATAAGTCTCATCGTTTGATGCACGTGAAACTGAATGCACCCTCGCCATCCGAGCATTCGTGAAATTGTTTGAGTACGTCCAACTCCACGGTACTTTTAAGGGCATTTCTCCCATGTCAAGAATGATACAGTAAAACCTTGGATTGCGAGTAACTTGGTCTGCGAGTGTTTTGCACGACGAGCAAAATTTTTAAATACATTTTAATTTGATAAACGAGCGAGGTCTTGCAATACGAGTAAGTGCGTATACACTTTGTCTGCCGAGCGTTACGTGATCACAACTGATATACGACGAGTTGCCTTGATATACGAGTGCTTTGATATACGAGTGCTTTGATATACGAGTGCTTTGGATTACAAGCACGTTTCCGGTTTTACTGTACTTCAATCTGAATCGCAAAACTAAGTGGTTGACATACTACGTCCAAGTATAAAACCACTTCAAGGTCATACTAATGATTACCCAGGTCTTTTAGAGTTTGAAATGTGTCAAGGTAGTCCTCATTTAACGTGTTCCTGAAAAGTGCCGCGTTTAGCAAACACTATTTCCGCATGACTAAGGTAACGATAAAGTTTGGCGAGATACGATGTAAGCATACAAAGTAAGATGGCAGGACAAATAACTGAGGTTACGCCGCCGCGTGACTTATCATTCCACATGCTGTATCACACCGCTCAGCAGTGCAACTCAAAAGTACTTCGCCGGCGTCCCCTCCGAAGCCGTGTTATAACGGTGCGCGTTCCGCGTTGTGCGAAAAGTGTTCCCTGGAAGAAGAAACCGCGTTCTAGTGTGAACCACCGCGCGTTAAGCGAGTACTTGCCCGTACACGTCTGGAAATTGTGGAGCTGCACGCTTGTCCGCTGCAAGCGAGCTGTGTGCCAGCGTGCCCTTCCCCAGGTCATGAGCGGGGAGGTTCCAATCGATGGGTAACATCTCTGCCGACTCTTGTCCACAGCTCTCACTGTCTGCGGGCGGCAGCGTTCTACATCCGGGGTCTCCTCTCCTTCTTCCAGGGCCGATACAACGAGGCCAAGTGAGTGCCCACGCCGTCTGTTGTCTTTACACAGTTTGCTGGGCAACTCGGCCCAAAGCGTCAAGCGGCCAGCTGCAAACGGCACCCATTGTCAAATTTGCAACGGATAATAGTGTAACACGTTTCTTGAATTGAGCAAGGCGCATTGTTCAGAAATACATTTGGTAAAGAGACGATGGGGAGGAGGGAATTCCAAAGTGGAGCAGCGTCGGCAAAGAAGCGGTAAGAGAAGCGAGGTGACCTGCAGTGTGGTGGTGAGTGAGTGGGTAGGTGAGTGTGTGTACGTTGAACTTCTTTCGCACCGTATGTAGCCAACCGTGCTAATCGGAGGTGCGGGGGAAAGACAACAAACTAAACACAAAAAGCAGTTCTGAAGAGTGTTGTTGTGACCTGCAGGTGTGGTTGTTGAACAGCGTGGACGAGATTAAAAAAAAACTGTCCGCTTAAGCCGAGTCCTCAACATATGTGGCGGAATCCACGAGTGAAGTTCACAGGAACATTAATCACAGTAGTAGTTATAAAAGAGTGATAACCAGGTGACTGACCGACAGTGAGCGGCTAATATATGTAAATTTGCTCGTGCGTATTTGTCCAGAAAACTCCCCCTAGACCGCTCCACCAATGTCGGTGAATGAGGATTCGTATGAAGGTGTACGATGTTTATGCAAACGCTGTTGGAAATGTATAAATAAATATCTCTGACCCAGCTTTTACGAGCTGCATATCTGCTCTACGAAGCTGCGTGCGTCTCTTACTCCGGTGTGGGCTGTGAACCTACGACTGTAGTTAAGAGGCTGATGCTCTTTCCACGTCTCACGTGACCTGCGTTTGTGACGTTCGCCGCACGCGTTTCGTCCGATCGGCGCGTGGTAACGGTGATGACGTGCTCCCATTGCCCACCTGACAGGCGGTTTCTCAGAGAGACGTTGAAAATGTCGAACGCGGAGGATCTGAACAGACTGACGGCATGTTCTCTCGTGCTGCTGGGGCACATCTTCTACTCGCTGGGAAATCACAGAGTAAGCAGTGTGTGTGTGGCTGCACGTGCGTGTGTATGCGCGCGTGCGCGTGGCGACTGGTAGTGGAACAGTCAGCACGTTGCGCTACGTACCCGGTGAACCGGGTTCAATTCCAGTTCATGGCCAACACCAGGTCACAATTATCTGAACTGGTCTTGATGTCGACTCTGCCTCAAACGAGTACCTGGTACGATGTATAAACAGCGCCACTGGGGAGACAATGGCGGCCGGGCGTGGTGTTGGCCACCCACCCGCACATGTGCCGTGCCAGCCTTCATAGGTGCTCGCTAACAGCACTTGCCCCAACAATCTGGTAAAGGCTATGTGGAGGATCTTTGTCTTTGCATAAGTGCACACCTCAAAGTGCGCCAAACCTGGGCACAACGCAACCGACCATTAATTGGCGAATGGCGGTCGTTGTTTGTGCCTGCGTGGGGAGTGGTGGCGTCGCGATTGGCGCGCTGCTGCGCTACGAACACGAGGTCGGGTGCATAGCGAGTGATGTAGCCAGGCCCTTGCAAGCTGATAGGAATGTGAAGTAGAGTGGCGGCTAACACTGCTGGTGCAGCTTTCGGACAGCAGAGGGCCTTCTTGAAACATGTACTGCCTCGAAATTATAACCACCGCCCAAGAAAAGATGCTTATATTTATCGCTGCACTAAAATTGGATGCTCTTTAAATCCACGCCGAGTTTAAGTGTTCTGAGAATTGGCAGCTCGTGTTCAATAGAAGTTGTAATTTGGATGCCTTTTGGGAGTTAAAATAATTATTCCGGAGGTGACGAGAAAACTGAGTCCGGGGTTCCAGTCATGTGATTAAACCGGTCTCTCAAATGATTGCTGAAAATATAATCTTAGTTTGGCTTGTCACTTAATTTGGCATAATTCTTGCTCTGAGAATTATTATTACATTTATTGGATATGAAAAAAATAAGAATAGGTTTTACCCTTTCTTGCAATACAACAGTTGTGTTAAGATGTTCAAACACCAAATAGAAACTTTTTGCAAGGAGTCATGTCTGCATTAACCACACGTACTGGTGGTGAACATGCAAACAAAAACATTCTCTGGTAATGTGTGCATTGGATTTATTGCTACGCAATTAACACTCGCAGGTCACATAAAAGTCGTGCTACCTCGGGTGAATGACGTGACGGCTGACGTGATTTCCCGAGTCGCCTATACGACAACGTCTTGCATCGTCGTTCTGACACGACGTGACGTTTAAAGCTGCTCCCACGTCAGAGTTCTAAATAAGGATCGGGGGTGGGGTGGGGGGGAGTTTAGGGGTGTCGTTGTCATCTTCTTCTCGGAGCACAATCGGAATTTAATCAGCGGCGGGGGGGGGGGGGGGGGAACAAAATAATGAATGGCGGAGGCTCGCCATGACCCGATCTTGCTGATCCTAGCTTCCAATTAAATGTGGTTCCCGTGCGAGGTGCCCTTCTCCCATGCGCCAGCTATTCCTGTCCTCCAAATTGACGCATCTCCTTTTTTGAAGGCATTTGTACGCTTTTCCCCATGCGTGAAATTTTAGCTTAGTTTTTTTTACTTACAATTTTTAAAAACAAAATGCAATTTTATCGGAGCCCCCCCGGGGAGGGGGGGAGGCGGTCGTCGGTCCTCGTCTGCAAAATCTCCCAAGAGTCGTTTTTTCTCTCCGGCGCCATCGACCTTAAAACGTTCGGCTGTGTCAGGGCCAAAAGAGGTCATCGCCGGCAATACCGTCGGTGAAACCACACTGCGCCATCGCTTCCTTCCTCCTGCTAGATCCCACAGCCATTGCATAATCGGCACCCTGCTTCCAAGGTCTGCTTTTGCAGTCTTGTCACCACTATCTGATTTGAGGTTTTCCCCATGTGTTCCAAAAGTCAACATGCCCTGCCAGGACCGCTCTTTAGAATCGCATCATCATCACCCCCATCTGGCTTTTGGTCTTCCCCCGAGTCACCAACTTCTGGTTGCCACTAACATGCGTTTCTTGGTGCCTTGCCCTCCTCCACTACCCACACAACCTCCTGCCATATTTCATTCCCAACCTCAAGGTTTTTTACCCTATCTTTCATAATGCACACATGTCCCACCCATCACAACCTCCTCTTTATTGATTCCATCTCCAACACTCACTTGACACATTCTATAACGAGCTACTCATTGTCTGATGATATCTGCCATGAAGTTCCTTCTTGTTTAGTTCCCGGGTTCTCTTTTCATGTCTGACTTATACAGTAACGTGGTGATGATGTTAACACCTTAATCGATAATCTGGCACTCACAGCAAGCACAAAGAAGGAAAGTATTTTGGATATGCACAGTTTGTAATCGGGGGAATGGTGGCGCAATGGTTTGCGCACCGCTCCATGAATCTGGCGACCTGAGTTCTCGCTTCCCAGCTACGGCTGGCTGGCTGGCTAACATCATCCGTGAGTGGCATCTGGGCCATTTACACAGCCTGGGGTGCGTGCGCGTACGAGATAAAATATCTGTTTGTCTTTGCGTTGTGTCGGTTCGTTAATATCGCCGACTCCTCTGCCGCCTGACTCGGCGCCCGTCTTTAAATAGAGGGCCCCCCCCCCCCGGGTGACTCGTGGTGAGCGATGTGAAAGTCGGGACGCGCATCGTACGTAACGCCGTCCCGCGCGATACAATGTCTCGTTGATGCGGGACATTGAAAACGATGAGCGGAAGGGCGATTTTACGGTGCCGCGCCGGGGAGAAGGTGGGGGGGGGTGGTGTGCAGGGGTGAAAGGAGATCCAATAATCCGATCTGCTGTGCCGCCAAATTAGTTTACCCGCGCGCATTAGCCCACTGCAATTATGCGTTGTGCGAGGCGATGTCACTCACGCTGACCACTCCTGTGACGACAGCAGCGCAGCTGGGCTCTGTTACAGGAGGAGGACAGTCTTCGCGTAAACAATCGTGTGATTATTTTTTTATATACAGTGAGGGGAAAAAAGTATTTGACCCCCTGCTGATTTTGTACGTTTGCCCACTGAGAAAGAAATTATCAGACTATAATTTTAATGGTAGTTTTATTTGAACAGTGAGAGACAGAATAACAACAAAAAAATCCAGGAAAACGCATGTCAAAAATGTTATAAATTGATTTGCATTTTAATGAGGGAAATAAGTATTTGACCCCTCTGCAAAACATGACTTAGTACTTGGTGGCAAATCCCTTGTTGGCAATCACAGAGGTCAGACGTTTCTTGTAGTTGGCCACCAGGTTTGCACACATTTTGTTCCACTCCTCTTTGCAGATCTTCTCCAAGTCTTTAAGGTTTCGAGGCTGACATTTGGCAACTCGAACCTTCAGCTCCTTCCACATACTTTCTATGGGATTAAGGTCTGGAGACTGGCTAGGCCACTCCAGGACCTTAATGTGTTTCTTCTTGAGCCACTCCTTTGTTGACTTGGCCGTGTATTTTGGGTCATTGTCATGCTGGAATACACATCCACGACCCATTTTCAATGCCCTGGCTGAGGGAAGAAGGTTCTCAACCAAGATTTGACGGTACATGGCCCCGTCCATCGTCCCTATGATGCGGTGTAGTTGTCCTGTCCCCTTAGCAGAAAAACACCCCCAAAGCATAATGTTTCCACCTCCATGTGTGATGGTGGGGATGGTGTTCTTGGGGTCATAGGCAGCATTCCTCCTCCTCCAAACACGGCGAGTTGAGTTGATGCCAAAGAGCTCCATTTTGGTCTCACCTGACCCACAACACTTTCACCCAGTTGTCCTCTGAATCATTCAGATGTTCATTGGCAAACTTCAGACGGGCATGTATATGTGCTTTCTTGAGCAGGGGGACCTTGCGGGCGCTGCAGGATTTCAGTCCTTCACAGTGTAGTGTGTTACCAATTGTTTTCTTGGTGACTATGGTCCCAGCTGCCTTGAGATCATTGACAAGATCCTCCCGTGTAGTTCTGGGCTGATTCCTCACCGTTCTCATGATCATTGCAACTCCACGAGGTGAGATCTTGCATGGAGCCCCAGGCCGAGGGAGATTGACAGTTATTTTGTGTTTTTTCCATTTGCGAATAATCGCACCAACTGTTGTCACCTTCTCACCAAGCTGCTTGGCAATGGTCTTGTAGCCCATTCCAGCCTTGTGTAGGTTTACAATCTTGTCCCTGACATCCTTGGAGAGCTCTTTGGTCTTGGCCATGGTGGAGAGTTTGGAATCTGATTGATTGATTGCTTCTGTGGACAGGTGTCTTTTATACAGGTAACAAGCTGAGATTAGGAGTACTCCCTTTAAGAGTGTGCTCCTAATCTCAGCTCGTTACCTGTATAAAAGGCACCTGGGAGCCAGAAATCTTTCTGATTGAGAGGGGGTAAAATTCTTATTTCCCTCATTAAAATGCAAATCAATTTATAACATTTTTGACATGCGTTTTTCTGGTTTTCTGTTGTTATTCTGTCTCTCACTGTTCAAATAAACCTACCATTAAAATTATATACTGATCATTTTTTTGTCAGTGGGCAAACGTACAAAATCAGCCCGGGATCAAATACTTTTTTCCCTCACTGTATTTTGTCTCCTCTCCTGGAATGGACTGGATGAGGGCCTCCCCCCCCTCCCACATCGCCCCCCACACTGTGTCAATCACGGTGGGAATTATTTGACCATACTTCACCACACTGGGCGGTGTGGGTTGGTGGAGGTGGTGGACAGCCCCGGAGTTCCATCCTGTGTAGAGAGCAGCAGGGGAGAACTTGCGACCCTCTGTTGATTTGATGAATCTTGACAATTATTCAAATCCCTTAATCAATACATGCCGAGGAGCCAGCGGGGTCACGAGTCGCTGACCTCTTAACACAGGGGGGCAGACTCTGGTATGGATGGGTCTGCTTCACTAGGCGGCACTTTGGAATTGTGCCTAAAACTCACGTCACTAACTTAAAAAAATGTTTTGATTGCTAAGCAAGCTTTTAAGTCATATCAGCCCGGGACACACATTCCTTGCATGTATCTACAAAATAACAGCGATTGTTTTTTTTTTTGGCCTTTTGACTTATGCTAAGATTTAGATTTCACTTTGTTGGGCCGATTTTGGTGCGGTATTGCTCATTTTTGTACCTTTGATCCGAAAGGTGTAACTGATGGTAAGACTGCCACTCGCAAAACGTGGAAAAAGACGAACAAGGCAACTGCACAGGCTGTCGTGCAATGGTTCTCCTGCTACGATTATAGTCCCCCCCCCCCCCCACATGGGTTGCGTGAGTTGTGCTGTGTGATTGTTATTGGGCCCACAAGTCAGCCGGGCACCACGGTGGCGAGATGTTAATGACTTTACCTGGTATATAAGAGGTCGTGGTTTTGATCCCGACCCTGACGCCTGTATGATGTTTGCATATTCTCCCCATGGTTGCGTGGATTTTTATGCCAGTCCTCCGTTTTTCGCTTCACATTTAGAAATATGCATTTTGAGTATTTGGCTGCTTCCACACGATTTACCACTTCGTTGGGCTATCATCTTTGGCCAGGTTGCTTCTGAAAAAGAGCTATTTAGCTCTGTTAGGTAAAATAAATAATAGTTTTTAATCGTTTTTAGAGTAACGCACGTGACACGCCCTCGCAAGGTCGTGAGTTTAAATCTCGTGCCGAAAACAGTCGACCCACGCTATCATCTCTAATTAGTTTTTAAAATGAATGAATACCACCTTGTGGGAAATCAACGGTTGTCCTATGGAAAGGCTGGCCCTCGCCATAGGAATGTGTAATTTCCACAGCTTTCTCAGGGCCGCAAGTGGAGACGATCTCTGCCCTCATTGTGCTAACGAGGGCTGGGCGACGGTCTGACTTTGGTCCTTGAAACGGGGCGCCGATATTTGTGCATTGCAGGACGTCCACTTTGTGTATTCGTGTGTTCGATAAACGGATGGGAAAAAGAGATTACCAGCTGAGCGCATGCGATGAAATCTGATTTTTTTCGAGTGGGGGGGAAATACAAAAAAACATACAAGCATGCATTAATAGGAAATCTAATCAGTAAACATAACCCTGTGGTGGTTTTTCAAATTTAAATAAACTCGTTCATGCACGGCCTGCTTGATACTGATGGATTTATTTGACGATATTAATGCTCGCTGCAGACCCATGCAAGGCAGTGCAATTTCTTCTTCCTCCGTGACACCGGGTCTCTCAAGGGGAGGATTGCTATCGTTTTCCACGCTCTGTGATAAGCCAATTAGAGAGAAACCAGCGACATTTTATTGACCCGTTGAGAATTTTCACCAGAACTCTACCGCTAAACCCTGCGCCCCATTATCCAAGAATTGCTCGGGGATCTTTTGTGTCCGCAGGGTAAACTGACCTTTTATTTTATTGTTTCGCACACACGCACGCCGCAGACTAACGACCCCGACGGCACTGGCAAAACACCGCTGCGCCAGCTTTTGCGGTGGTGCCGCTGCTGTGCTCCGGTTGAGCCGCGTGCCGTTTTCGGCACGGTTGCCGGACGTTGCGCCCCACGCGACGGTTGAATTCGTTTGGCTGCGTCATCATCGTCGGGGTGGCGGAGGGCCTCGGTGACACACAAATTTTGTCGGATCATTCACTACGTGGCCTAACCCCTAACCCCCCCCCCCCCCCCCCCCCCCCCCCCCCCCCCAAAAACAAAAACCTGTTTCTGAAATGTTGTAATGTGACGATCCGGCCTCCGTCGCTCGCTCGGGCAGCGAGTCACTTTGTCTCGACCTTTAACCTCTTGGCTCAGTGCAGTCAACGCCTGAGCGTTTTTACAAGTTGAACTTTGTAATCACGGGCTAAAAAAAACCAGGCTTTATTCCGCTGTTACAAATTGTGTAGTGGTTGCTATCTAGACACAAGCCTGAGGGGTGGGGGTTCCTCCTTTTTGAGCAACGCTTAAGACGGCTGTAATTCTGTAAACTTGACTTGAACATTAGCCAGCGGTGATTATAAGCATATTAAATATATCAATTTCTGTAGTGCAGTGTGCTGGCTGTGCCTCACAGTCATGGAGCAGGATAGTAGTACGCTCGCATGCGCTGTACGAACAGTCTGTGTGTATGCGATTTCTAGTATTCGAAGTTACTAGTGGCTACGTACTCGGATTGGCTTAGCATCATTACTGGTATCATTCGTCAGAAGTCCCAACACTTTATCCAGATTGTGCGGTCGGCGTCACGTCACGTGACAGAATCGCAGTGCAACTCTCGGTTTTAAGAGAACAGCCCGCAGTCGTAGATGTCGTAGAACTACCTCTGAGATCCCTTCATCGAACTCCAGTCTTCACCGTAGTGGGCAGCCTGTTCCTACTCGGTGAAATTTGGCCAAATCAAGTGGAGAACCAAGTTTAATGTAACTGAATATTTATTTTCGGTGCAGTCATGGTTCAACCAGGTTGAGGCCATCAATTCTCCGAACTTGAAAACCTGGTTTCTATTGCTCTGCGCTACCGGCGTGGCACTCTGACCTCTTTAGCCTTCTGGCCACCTCGAAATTCCACGTTCCTATGGCAACTCGGCTCGCCTGAGTTCGATGGCCGCTCGCGGCCAACTCTATCGGTGACGAATATTTGAATTAAGTCGCGGGCATGCCCCAGGTCGGCTCGGCCTTGAAACCAGTTCCTGTTGCGGCGCGTCGGTCTTAGAAAATAGTGCTCCTCGCCCCCCACCTCTTTGCCGTCCCCCTTCCTCCCCTTTATGTTAATTATGTTCTCCCTTGCCCCCCCCCTCCCCCATATAAACTTTCACTTCTCTGCTAGAGCCCCCCCCCCCCACCTGGGGCAGTGAGCCCAATCCGCGCCCCCCTTCACTAAGCCCTGCCTTGCTGATCTTGGACTTTGTTTTCCGAATTTCTGCCCCATCCCCCACCACTCCTCCTTGTTCTGTGATCGATGCTCTGTACCAGGTTCGCATTGACTTGAAAAAAAATAATAAATGGTGCTCACTAACAGCACTTGTCCGCAGCAGTCTGTTCAAGGCTTTAACTCGTCATTGTGCGCTGTTTTACAGGAAAGCAATAACATGGTGGTGCCGGCCATGCAGCTCGCCAGCAAAATCCCCGACGTGTCCGTGCAGCTGTGGTCATCGGCTCTGCTCAGAGGTGAGTGTGGACGGGGGGGGGGGGGGGTGGGGGAGGGTGACGCAGTGGCCGCCCTCGCCACCGCCCTCGCCACCGTCCTCGCCTTTTGTTAACCGCGTCGGTGTCACAAACGATGGCGTCGCCACTGTCAACGTCGGTGTCGCCGACAGCACGATCGTCGGCGTTGACCACGGCGCGATCGTTACCGGCCTCATTCACAACGTTGTCGTCATCGTTGTAAACGGAATTATGAAAGATGTCATCAAGCGGCAAGTATCGTCACCGTCATCATGAAAAAAATATCATCGCCGTCGCTGGCATTCACAGCATCATCGCCGTCGCTGGCATTCACCGAAGCACCGCCGTCGTTGTATGAATGTATTGCGTGCCGGTCACCTGGGGTCCAGGCGGCGCTCGTGTGACATGCCAGTGCCGCTTGCTGTCTACGTGCAGCTGTTGATGGACACTGTGCTGCTCGGCAGGATATATCGGACGTCAACAATCGTAATACAGAAAGGTTATTATTTAATGTTTTATTTTATTTTTCTACCTACGCGACTTTACCGAAAGAACCAAAGAGTACAGAAAGGTTGTCGGGCAGGCATTGCGGGTTTCCATCTCGCCATTTTAGGCTTGAGTCAATTGATTTTCAGTGGGTGCAGTGGTAGCATGACTTTGTTCATCACAATATTAATGCGGTTTCTGTGAGAGGTGTCAGGTGTCCTTGGGGGGTCAGAGCACCGAGACAGCAAAACTGAGACCCTGGCTTCAAATCCACGTTTCAGCAGCCTGTGAATAAACCGGGTTTCTCAAGTGCTTATTGTCTTAACAACTGACGAGTAAGCCTAATAATAGGCTTACACAGAGACCCATACACTTACACAGAGACCTATAGACTCGCATAGAAACCCATAGACTTGCGTAGCTTTACGTGTGATTGGCCTGAGTATTTGAATGTAGCGTTATTTATAATCTCAACCCAGTTGCCAATGACTGCACAAAAAAAACATACAATATGTTGGTTCTGTTTTTAATTTGGCTGAACTCGAGCACTGATAATTTAACGTTGTCTGTTTGACCTTCGGCTAACGAACACCACTTTGTAGCAGGGTGGCTGGAAATGTCATGTGGATAAGAAGTCACTCGAAGGGATCTCCAGAAGTACTATGATATCACTTTCCTCGGGCTGTTCTCCGATACGGAGTGATGCACGACTCTCATAGTTCCGAATGGACACTCGGGGTCATGACTTGATGCCTATAGCGCAATTGGAATTTAAGTGGGGGGGGGAGGGATAGAAAATTGAAAAAGAGTTAAGAAAATGCCATTGCTCTGAGCAAATAACGTTTTTACTCGAGGTCATAATCCTGTTATGGAGAGTTGCAATAGCTGTCATAACAGTTGATGGGCTAGCCAATGGCAGTTTATGTGGTGGGGTGTGAGAGGTGGAGAGGTGAAACTCATGCTGACCGAAAACCCCTGATGGACAGAGGTGTTGCTGGCGGTCCACTAAGGATCGCACCCAGAACGTCCCCCGAAAATTCTGTTTTGTTTGTTTCACCGTCTCAGGACTTGTGAGTGGAGACGAGCATAATTCCAGCCCAGCGCTCGGCCGAAAAGAGACGACATTTTTGTTTTTGCTGCATCCGTCGCTTTATTTTTTTTATCTTTTATCGTTACGAAAGCCTTCGTTCTTGTGGAGCGACGGAATTCGGCCCAAGCGCAGGTGCAGGGCGGAATCTTAGAATCGCGAAAGATGGTGAGAGCTGGTGACGACTTGGCGAGGCCTTGGTTATTATTAATATTGTTTACGTTTTCATAAGGCGCAGCAGACCCAACAAAGGGCTTCATAGCAACGTAGAGAAAGGAAAAAAACATCTCTAGCATATCTAACAAATCATCGACAATACGTAGGTTTTTAGTTTCTTTCTAACTCGGAAAATCTCCGTGGTCGGGCGCAGAGAGCGTTCCAAATCTGAGAGCCACGGACCGAAAAGGCCCGAGCTCTGAAAGTTTTTTGCCGAAAGCGTGCCTGACAGAGGACCACGGTGCGTGAGGACACCATCCAGCAGCCAATTTATCTCGGCCCATGACGACGATGTTTCTCGTTCTGTTCCCCCCGTGCTCAGATCTGAACAAGGCGTGCGGCAACAGCTTGGAGGCGCACGAAGCATCGCAGATGCATCAGAACTTCTCGCAACAGCTCCTCAATGACCACATCGAGGCCTGCAGCTTGCCCGAGCACAACCTCATTAACGTGAGACCGTCATCGTTTACGTTTTGATTTAAAGCTTTCGTGACTGCAGTAATTCATATTCTTAGCTCTTTCGGTAAAGACAGGTTCATTGTAAGCCATCTGGCTACCATGAGAGATTCGTTCATGAGGCTATCCACATATACAAGCACAGAGACAATTTCAACCGAGAAGATGGATTCTGGCTTAGCAATCATTGGAAAGATTTGATAAACCATTTCAGGTCTTAATTGATTGTTCACGCTTACAGTGGCTTTCAGGCAGCATACATTAATTTTTCGTCTCCCCCCTCCTCTTTTCAGAACATAGATGGACTAGTCCTTCTAAATAAACTGCCAAATCGCTGCGCGTGGCGCTGCCGTTTTTTAAAATAAATAAATAAATAACCACGCCGTTTAAACATAAATAAATGTATGCAAACCGACACACCTGATGACGACCGTTTGTGTTATGGTCGAAACGTGAGAATTTTTATTGTTTTATATATATTTTATTACTTTATTGTTTCCCTTCAACGTGACTTTACCGAAAGAGCTAAGAATATCGTTTACGTTGTTTGTGTTTGTGTGTACGTTGAACTTCTTTCGAACCGTGCGTAGCCAACTGCGCTAATCGGAGGTGCGAGGGGAAGGATAACAAATGCAAAAAGTAGTTCTAAAGAAATTAGTTTTCAATCAAGATTTTAAAGTGAATAGCTCCGGCGGCTTTTGAATATCGGGACGAAGAGCATTCCAGACTGCTGCAGAAGCGCATCTGGTGCGGTGACACTCTTTGTTCGATGGCTGGCCAAAAGCCGCTGCTGCGTTGATGACCAGAGTTCGCATGATGGTTTATCGTTGGAATCGTTGCAGTGATTGGTGTAATCCCTGATTGGCATAGCAATCCCATCATAACCAAATTCGGGTTGTTGGGTTCAAAATGTAGTGAGCTTACCAGTATGCCACCGCTCCATCCTACTGTTGTTGGCTCAGCCTTAAACGAGCAGTTGGTGAACATCGGCAGTGGGGAGACAAAGGCGTCCGAGCAAGCATGGTGCTCACCGCACCACTCGCTTGTATGCCATTCTGACCTTAGTTGAAACTCGTCGTCAGTACTTTCCCCGTATAATCTATAAAGGCCATGAGACACTCAGGGCAATTTCACGGCAATCATTGTCGGCAATCATCATGGTAAATGGTTCCGTACCTTGGTCTATTATTGGACGATTCGTTTCCCAAAGCTGATTGCTGCTCCCCGCTTGTGAGCAACTGAGATGGCAACTTCCAAAATAGACTTGGAGGCCCGAGGTCAAATGGTTCTCCCCAGGGTGCAGTCCCGCACACTCCTCAACCAACTCTGTTATCATTGGGCTGGACACCGCTCCATTGCTCGTATGGCGGCAATCTTCACAGTGAAATGTGTGTGCCCTGGCAGGCCACGTGACGTCATGTGTTACGACGTCACATTTTGCGTCAAGACGTCCGTCCATGTGGCCGCTAATCTGTTCCGACTTGTCCCCAGCTCTCCCATCTCTCTCTAGTCTCTCATCTCATTATTCTGCCTCTCTTGTCTAAAGCCCTTTCATCTCCAGTTCTTGTTTGTGTCTCCTTCAACTGACCGATCTGTCTCGTTGTGTCTTGACGGGCCGTGAATTGATGGGCCACTCCACGAGCCCTCTGGCACGGGGGGCCGCCAGTATAAGAAACCCCCCCTGCTCTGTCTGATTGCCACACGAGTTGCCATAGTTGCTCTCAATTATCGCTTGGCCGGTGAAGATTGCCCTGAAACCGCACCCAGTGCATCATGGCTTGAACTGGTGACTGTTGGGGGGATCTCGTGCGTGTGTGTGTTTTTGTGCAGAGCGGTCGTGTAACGGTTAGCACACTGCACTACAAATCTGGCAACATGAGTTCGATTACCCGCTCACGGCCTAACACCAATGACGATTATCTGAACCGGTCCTGGGACTCCCCTACGTCGACTCGGCCTCAAATTAATCCCGAGTGTGGTGTGTAATCGTCGCCACTATGGAGGCAAATTTGGCCGGGCGTGGTGTTGGCCACTCACCCCCTCGTGTGTCCTGCCAGCCTTGATAGGGGCTCGCTAACAACACTTGCCCCAACAGTTTTAATGCCACGTGGGGGATCTTTGTCTTTATCTTTGTGTGCGAGCAGTGGACGGATGGACCATTCCCCATGCAGTACCAGGCACAGAACGGGCCCAACACCAGCTTGTCGAGTTTGTTGTAGCCGGATCCGGAAGGCGGACGAGTGGAGAAGGACAGGGGTGAGAAGAGACACAGGTGCTCAAAACAAAACAAAAAACTAAAAAAATCTGCCACGAGCTCTCGCAGAGAGAGAGACGTCTAAGCGGACGCTGGTGGAAACTAGTGCCCCGCCCGTTTGGCGCACGAGCAACGCCTTGCTCTCAAGGGGGTGTCGGGACTCCCAGTTACGAGGGTCATGCTGGCAACGGTGGTGACGGCGACAGTGGTGGCGACGGTGGTGGCGACGGTGGTGATGGTGATGTTGGAGGATGGTGGTGGAGGAGCGGTCGGTGATGGTGCGCGAGCGGCAATGGCGGTCGTTTTGGCGCGCTCCACACCGCCACCGCCACCGGCGCGCCACGTAGAAAGGGTCTTGGCTTGTGAACGGAACGACAGAAATATAAATATATATAAATTTTATGTTTTAAGTTTATATAAAGTGCAGTACCATTTACCCACTATTTTTTTTTTGGCAAGTGTGCGTGTGCGCGGATGGGGCTGGCTTTAACAAAGTTTTTATATTAAAAAAACGAAACGTAAAAAAAAAAGTGAAAAATAATTTAACCTATTCCCCTTTGTGTCTCGTTACGTTTTTGTTTATTTGTGCGCCCACCCCCTAAATTTTTAACACTCAGTTAAGTTCTCTCCGTCGTGCTGCGCCGCTGTCTGCGATTGGTTGGCACAATTTGTCAAGGGAGTTTCCTGTTCTGTTTTTTTAATATAATAAATACGAGATAGCTCGTTGAAGGTTTTACCCGCGTGGCCCCGGCTTGGAACATTGTATGGAGCACGGGGAAAAGCAAAAAAAAATCACTTGCGGCGAGGACATTTTAGCAATCTCCGAGGAAAAGGAAGAGCGCACTGATTCATGCAAAGTTGGCGCTCATTGCGACGTGCAATTTGGTATCGATACCCTCGTCACGTTTTAATCCCACGATTTTCTGACGATATCTCTAGCTTTTTTTTACCATAACAAAAATCTGAACTATCCGGCAACACTTTTGTTTGATTCTCACGATCCTAAAAAATATATATCTGCAATGGCCTATAAAATCCTAAATCCGACGATTCTAAATCTGAGCTCATCCCCACTTCACTTGTGATTACTTTACAAAAAAGCAATCGTTTTTAACCGCCGTAGAAAACGCACGCATTAATCGCAACTATTGAAAATTCTTTCTTGCATTTGACAGAAGCCTCGGACATGAGATCCCATAAATGTATTTTATTTTGCTATCCATAAATATTTCACTTTTGTGAGTGTGGAACAATGAATACATTTTACTGTTTATATAAAAACATCAATTTGTTCTTTCACAAGTCTCCCTTGCAAGGGAAATATTCGTTCCTTTGGGCTGTCCCTCATTAAAGAAACCCCTTTGTGTATAATACAGTAAGGCAGTCGTACTGTTACAGCTCACTTTAAGCAGACAGGTGTGTTTATACATCTCGTCCGTTGTGTGGAGTTGACCTTGCAGTGATTGCCATGCCAGACTGCCCCCATTTGCCAATGCACAAATGCACACGTTCCATTTGGAAGTAATCATTAATGAACTGTAATTGACAAAGCCATCACTGGGCAGTTGAGCTGCACCACAACAGCGTGAATGTTAAGTAAAACTAACTTTGTTGTAAAGGATTATAAACAAATTTGGCACTAGATTAATGCTTGCCAATTTTACAATTGTTCCTGAATTTATTTAGGGTTTTTTTGTTTGTTTTATAACTGAAAAATGGAGAAATAAAAAACATTTTAAGAAATATGGACGAAAATTGGAGGAAATTCAGAGACGTTTGGAGAATACCCGACATTAGATTTGGCCGCTAGTGCCTTCCACACATTTCCAAAACTTTAAAAAAACAAGATCACTCACGGGAAAAGCAACAAAGCGACCTGAGCTGTTGAGCTCCGAGCGGTTTGAGTAGCGAGACTAAAAGAGTTCGTCACAATCGTGCACCAAGGGCGATTGCACTTCAGGACTTTTGTCTGATGTCAGTTTCGGGTCGTCACAGCCACATCAACATTTGTGAGACCTCTTTTGACGTTTCAACCCCGGGATTTTTCTGGGCCCTCTGCACCCTCGTCGTTCAGTCCAGGAGAGTTGACCCCTGCAGGGAACCGTTGGTGATTCATTTAATCAGTCCCAGGATTCTAGTCAAATGCGTTGAAATTCTTATCGGCATGAGAGGCCCACCTCCGCCCCCCCCCACCTCGCGGCGAACTCCCATCGGCCGTTCCGTTCCGCAGCGGCCGTTGGGATAACGCGCACACAAGAGCGACGGGCCTTGCGTTTCACGACGGTCACTTGGTGCGTCAGACATTCCCCCCGCAGTTGCCGTCTCGTTACGCCCCCCCCCCCCCACGTGCTCCATGCAAGTTCCCCGTAGAATGCGGGGGGACCCTGCAGTACACGTTATTATCTACTGTATTCTGGTAATACTTATTAAAACACGTAAGCTCTGGACGATTTTATTTTACGTTACGTTTTTTAGTTCACGACATTTGCATGCACTTTCCATTGTATAGTTATTTTTTTTTAGAGAAATTCACTTAACGTTTGTACAGGCAGCAGTGTCTGTTGCAGGAAGAGGAGGTGTCTGTGTTGTGGGTGCCCTGGGTTTTCAAGGTGGCACAGTCGGGAGCACAGGTGGTGCATCTGTCATCTCAGTTGACGCATAACACCTTGGTCTGTCCCGTCACCTCCTATCAGCGAGTCTTCAACACTTCACATGGCCTCACGGTGCACCTAGCCTGGCATAAGCGCTGTGGTGACGTCATCGCCACTTAGGGACGAACGTGGCTGTTGGGTTTTCATTTCCATTCACGAGAGTTTTAAATATAACTATAAGCCTTGCATTGCCACCACCCTGTTTATTAAACCCCTATCTGGCTGGCGATCGTCAGCTGGGATCCGATGTTCGCATTGAGGAGCGTCCTGGAACATCTTGGTAACCCGCCAAATCTCAAAAGTCGGCTTTTGTCACGGGTAGGCAACGGATAAAATTTATGACAAAAGTGGAATTGTTAAGTTCCCTTGTTTGTCCACCTGTGGGCAGATTATACGATCAAATAATCTATCACGTGGATTGTAGATTGTTTCGATGGAGTTAGTGTGGGTTATTAAAAATAAATGCACGCGGGTTAACAGCTTCTTCCAAGACACCCCCTCAATTGACGCGAATCAGGTTCCGATTCAATTCACAAATTGATTCTGAAACGTTTCGGTGAACGGTAGCGCCTCCCAAGTGGCTGCAGTGGTGCGACGCAAACCCCCTGACGTACAAGTCAAAATGCGAATCTGAAAAACATCGATGGTTATGCCCTTGCGATTCTGTGCGTGTAAGAATCGATATTGATCCGTAAATGATGCCTCATTCCACCCCAAGTGGTCATTGATGTGGAGTTGGCACATGCGTTGCCGCGCGTGCCCGCATCGGCATCAGTTCCAGCCACCTGGGTTCTAACCCTGACTGCCATTCACAGGGTCGACAGCAAGTGGCGTTTATGCCCGTTTTGGGCTTCCCCTAGGTCCACCCAGCCTTAAACGAGCGCCCGTTCCAGTTTGTAGACATCCGCAGCAGAGGGAAACGAAAACATGCAGGCGTTCGTGCGCGCATGGTGCTGGCAGCATCACCACCATTACGTTTGCGCCACGCAGGCCTTAATAGGTGCTCGCTAACAGCAATCACAGCAGCAGCCCCGTGCGGCTGAACTCGGTTCACGTGCAACTAACGAGGAAATGTTTTTTTTTTACGTTTTTCAGTGTTGGGAAGGACGACGGGCAGTTGTGTAAATTCATTCGGCCTCATATATAAACGTAAACCATTGCAACGCAATATAAAAAAAAAATACCTTTTTATTCTACCAGTTGGTAAGCAAAACGGCCTAAAGGTCAACAACCGTCACCCAGGGTTTGACCTCCCTTCCCGAAGTCACGAGCTCAGTGGTTCTTCACTATCACCAGCTGGAAATTGCCTCTGCGGTTGGAATTGCAGCAACTAAATGTAAAAAAAAATGTACACGAAACGTAATATAATTTAGGTTGCATGGCCGCGTGCTTGTGTTTACGCCCGTCCACGCGCACGTACATATATTTTTTTAATTCCGGTGAAGTCACACTCTCTCCGTTAACACGCTCCGTTTTGGGTCCGGGCGTTCACACGGCGTCTCGTTCACATGGACGGAGCAGCTGCCGTTCACCTCCGCCAGACGGCCCCCTGTGCCTACCGCTCGTTAGCTCCGCATGGTAGGGGAGAGGAGGGGGGGCCCCGAGCGGGTCGATTTGTAACAACGCGGCCTTTGACTTGCCGCACAGCGGTCACGGGTGTGTACCTGTCTTAACAACCCTTAGAGGGATGATGGGTCGCGGCGGGATTTCGTCTCCGTTTGCCTTGTGAGCTGCGCGCCGTGTGCTCCGCGGCCCTGGGCCCGTAAGATTCCACGTTAAGTTGCCGGCGCGTGTGCGGCTCGGACGCCGCCGCTGCGCCCTCACTTTGGTTAAATCGCCGCTCGAAGAATGTCGCATGCGAGAGACCCTTTCCCGTTTCTGAGACGTCTGCAAGTTGCAGAGTGTGTGGGTCCCATTCGCAGCAGAATCTCGGAACGTGCAAGCGGTTCGGCGTTGATTTTGTCAAGAGAGGCGTAGCGGCGCTTGTTTTTAAAGGCATTGTACTCACCGCAGAGAACTATAGCGACACGACCGCAACTCTACGATAGCTGACGCCAAACTGTGCCATGCGCTCTCCGGCATGGGCCTTATACTTATGATTCCGATGACGGATGCGATTCCACGTCTGGAATTGTTTCCGTCATCGGAACGCAATCCGAAGAAAAACTGATGACGTGTGCCATACTTATGTCATCGGAACGGGAAAGGGTTAATACGGTAACGTGCGTACGTCTTGTGTACCGTCTGGGTGGAGCGGTGGCGCAGTGATTACTGCGCCGCGCTATGAACTCCGGTACCTATAACCTGCGTACGTATTCCCAGACAATGCTACTAACGTCAGCGGCGAGTGACATCTTAACCAGTCCTGGGTTTCCCCTTTTTTTTTTACCTTCGCAAAGTGTGGTAAAGTATGGTCAAACGGCTCCTGTTCTTGTCACGGTGTGGGGGCAGGCCCTCAGCCCAGCAGTGGATGTAACACAGTGCTGTAAATTATTCGTTTTTATGAATCGTTTCAAACTCCATTGGGGTTGACGTGGCACCTGACTCGCAATCGGGCAGTTGTAAGTTCAAATCTTGGTCCGAGGGGTCGATTTCAGCCCATCATCCCTCCGGGGTGGGGGGTTTATAAAATTCGGACCACTTTGTTGAGCAAACAGTATGGATATTGCCAGCCCATGCTGCCTGTAATAACAAATATATTTTCTTATTTAATTGTTTAGTTTTATTATTATTAAACTGGTTATGGTAAGAATTCATTCTAATTAAAACTCATCCTCTTTCTGTTTTCTCTTATTTATGTATGTGTGTGTGTAATTTGTGTCTTGGTGTACATACTGTCCCAATGTATATATGTGTCTGCACATGTGTGTTTCTATACTTCTGTGTACATACACACACGTACGTGTATATGTATTTATGCTGTAAATATACTGTGTATATATGGTGGACTTTACCAATCGGTTAGACAAATTTTTTTGCTAAATGCAGAAGATTTTGTGTATTTTTTTCTGCCAACTGTCTCTTTCCATTAACAGAATTAAATACGTCATTTTTTATTATTACTCCTGCTGACGGAAGGTAGCATAATTCTTTAATGCAGTGGGCATCGCTTGATAAAATATAAATGCCTTTGAGGTGGCTGAGTGTTGAGTTGGCACCTTTGAGATTCTAGGTAAAAAAAAAAAATCTGGGTTTCAGCTTCTGCAATTTGAAGCGGGTTCTCGAATGTAGAGATATGTTGGGCTCAGTGTGGTTGCCGGAGACTGCAGGAACAAAAAATAATCACAGATTAAGCCAATTGAAAGTCATCGGTTTGACTTGTCACGCAATGAACCGTTGCTCTAGCGGGGCGCTTGGGAAAGCACAGCAGACTTCGAGTGGAGAATACATTTCACCGGAAGGGATCTCGGAAGTAGTTCTTTAATATCTCCTTCCGCATGATATGCGCTGCTCTTGAGAGTTGTTGAATTGATGCCTCGCCCCAGACGTGTGAAATCAGTAGCCCGATAATACTGGGGGGGGGGGGGGGGGAAACATGATTTGTAAAAAAAAAACTTTAGACTTCTCAAATTGTAAACTTCTGCGCGTGCGTAAGACAGGAGAAAGTCCGATTGGATTATCTTTTCAAAATCATTGCGCATCTTGGCACAGATGTAGAAAGTTGAGATGGGGGGGATTCTGCCAAAAACACCTTTGGTACCTGGCACGTTAATGTGCGGTTGTGTTTACAGTGGGCCTGCGTTTGAATAATAATCTGCCGTTAGCAAACGGATCCGATAATAACCTTAGTATTTATATGACCCAAAAAAAAACACCTCCTCCAGAAATGAGAAAAGCACATGGCCATTAAAGTTGTGTTGACTCACCTTCCGCTCGGGCAAGGTTGTTTTTTTTTCTTCCGCTGGAACAATTCGCGGCGTGCGCGCGCTTGCCTGAACGCGCCCGCACGACGGTCGAGCATCTGAGTGGGGAAGGCGGGGGTGGGGGGGAACTCGCGCCGGGCATTTTGATATTTCAGCACTTGAATTATTAGAAAGTGTTTACGTCTCTCTTGGGAGGACGGCGAATTTTTAAAATCCTGCTCGAGGGAGATCTCTCCTATCGCAGGAGAATTCACCCGAGGCTCGCGGATTCTATTCAGTGGCAAAACAACGCGACAGAGCAACACGCCGCCCATGCCGCTGTGAATTACCGTTCACAGCGGGCGCCCCGTTAGCCAGAGGCTAAAATTAAATTCTGAAAACGTCCTTCCAATGGCTTATTCGTATCACGGGGGTAGACCCATCCCGGTTGTGGAATCGTCATGCCAGCTTTGAAAACACCACGCCCACTGCTGGATTGAATGCCCCCCCCCCCCAAACCCACCACAAGCTGTCACGATCATCTCTCAGTCTTACAATGTAATGATCCTCCTGGCGCGCACCGCTAACACGACCTGCTTTCACTTTCGTCGCTCCATTTCCGAGGTGGATATCCTCACGGAGGCGCATTACCTCAACCCATGACCTCCGGTCACCGCGTTGCGAGCTTTCAGAGGCACTCTTCTGCGGCCGTCTGGAATGCCCTTCCGATATCAGGAAGCCCACTGGAGCCTATGCACTTTTAAATCTAGATTGAAAGATAATTTCTTTAGAACTGCTTTTTGTGTTTAGTTTGTTATCCTTTCCCCCCGCACCTCCGATTAGCACGGTTGGCTACGTCGGGTGCGAAAGAAGTTCAACATGCACAACAATACGTACATCGCCAATCTCCACCTCCAGCCACCGCCCTTTCTCGTCATGATGCCCTGCCCAAGCCCAGTCACTGTCTGCGACGTGCGTTCCTCTTCGTGTATCCTGGCGTACCACCGAGCGTGCATCTCTCCGTGCTTTTTTGCACGATTTTCACGTTGTGTGTTCTCTTATCCTCGTCTCGGTGCCCATGGTTTTCCGATCCCGTGTGTCGTAGCCGGCAATGAACACCGGCGCACGGCAGCGTGACGCCGTACGCACGCACGGACGAACCAACAAACGAATCGGCAGCGTGCGAAGCGATCGTGGGCATAGCATATCTTTTCATCCGAAGCCATGAATCATCATATCCCTTTAAAATAAGACTCCGGGTGTCCTCGGCTCTCATATGAGTTTAAATAAAGGTCATCTATCATCTATCTCATGTATTCATGCTGAATGTCAACTGACAATTTGCCACTCCGTCAGTCTAATTTTTAACGACTTCCAACAGTAACGACGCGATGGTTATAAATGGCACGCAGGCTGTCGCGTTCCGTTTTTTTTTTGCGCGCGTTATCGTTTTTCCCCTGTGTGCTTTGGCAGCTTTTACCCCGTGGCTCCCAGAGCAAAAGGCAACAATCGCTGGTCGGGAACCACTGACCCATACTAAGGGAATAACTTTTGCTGTGATCAGCAAACACGGCTCGATCGAGCTCGCTGTCTCTCTCTCTCTCTTTCTCTCTCTCCGCCGTCTTCTCGAGCTGTGGTTGCGGCCGCGTGCCCTTTCTGCGCGGTGTCCCGACACTTTCGTGCAACGTGCTGGCGGTTTGGGGGGGGAACCCTTTGGAGCTTCTTGCGACAACTGAAATCGCCGCTTCCTGAACTCGCTGCCACCACGTGGAGCGGGAACGCCGGGACGATCACGGACTTTTTTTTTTTTTTTTTTAAATTGCGAACGGCAACGCCAGCTCGGCACGACCCGAGAACGCGTTGGGAGAGAGTTGGAAGATGGCGGCAGCGACCGCGGGAGGACGTGTGTGATGTTTTGGGTCGCTGCGCCACAAACCCAGCCGAATTCACGCCCCCTCGTTGGGATTCCGCGTCGCCTCTGCTCGTTTACCGTTGCCAAGCGGTGGCGTCGTATTTCACTTTGTCAACGTTTGCAGCGACGACGACGACGACGACGATAAGAAAAAAGCCAAATAGGGAAACGGGCTAAATAAAAATAAAAATGTATACGCGCGAGAGAAAAGAAACGGCCATTATTTTTTTAAGAGATTGTTTTAGGGGGGCCCTATAAGTGCGCAAACGGAAATAAAATGACAACGCGCACGAAAGCTCAAATCTGAATATTCGTCGGCAATTTTGGGATCGGTTGCCTCCAGTTTTGCAGTGGCAAAGCGCGCAGTGAAGTAGGAACAGGATAACAATCGCATTGAGAAGACTCGTTCAGAACAGCGAAGCAGGGCGGGCCGAGCGTCGCTGATAAGAGTGGGGTGGCTGCTTTTAACGCTTTGTTTACGTCGGAAGGTCTCGGGGGTTTTTCTTTCTTGTAAAACTCCCTCCATCATCATTCTCTCCCCGGCCAAGTCCTCGGCGCGCATGACAGACGGCGCACGTTAACCCGTCGCACTGGATTTTTAACCATTGTGCCAATCAATCGACTGCTGGATGAAGGCTCCCCGCTCCACCCATCCCTCCCCTTCCCCGCACTGTGGCGGATGTTTGGCCGTATTCCACCACGCTGCGCATCGCGGGTCGGTGAAGGCGGGGAGCATAGTGCAGTACAACAAAGTGTTTTATGTGCACTGCGCGGTGCTGCTCATAGCGTAGCCTTTGCAGCAGCAAGCATCCTGTAACCACTCGTATGCATGGCAGTGGCCGCCCATCCAAGCATTAGCCAGGCCCAAAATTCTGCTTGGCTTAGGAGATCTGACGAGATGGTCTGCGTTTCAGGTGGTTTGTCCGTAGGGGTTATACTATAACATCCGACGTTGCGATTGAAACTCTTGTTCCTGCTGTCTTCGTTACTCTCTATTTGAATCACAGAGCAGTGTTATTTTAGGTTGTGCAAGAACGCAGCTCCTTTTACTTTCACAGAGACGCTTTTGAACAGTCCCCGTAGCGTCATGTTTCTAATGCAATAAAATAACACTGTAGGGTTACAGCTCTTTTGTCAATCCACCGCTGGATGAAAGCCCTCCCCAGGCCGACTTGAGTCACGGGGGTTGTTTGACCATACTTCACCGCGCTTGCCGAAATGAGGGTGCCAGGAACTGGTTCAGGTATCGCTCGCCACCGATGTTAGGCACGGCCGGGAATCAAACTCATGTGGCCGGGTTTCATATAACGCAGTGTGTTAAACGCTTCGTACGCAAAACGCACACAACCACGCACAACCACACAATCATATGCATACATAGAAGAAACACACACACACCCATGCAATCACACGCAGATGCAACGACATCCATACTCGCGCATGCAATCACATGTGCGCACACACGCCCATGCAATCGCGTGCACACAACACACACTTAACGCCTATGTTGTTGGTCAGAGCAGAGCTTGCAGATCTGGAAATATTTTCTCCACGACATTCGACTAACACTTTCACTCGAACCCCAGAATGCGAGAGTGGTCGCCTAAACGGTTCAGTTACTCTCTCTCTCTCTCTCAGGGTGGGCTGGGAGGAAACTGGGATTCTTCATTTGGAGATTTAACTAGTTGCTCTGTCTCGTGCTCGTGACGCCACGTGAATTTCCTTCCCGGGTTGAAGTTTGCTCGCTGAACCTTGAACCTTGTGTCTGGAAACCAAAGGTCCAAGGGCCATGTCTGTAGTGACAGCTCAGCTCTGCCTCGGCTTCCAAAAATAACGGCTCGGCCGTGGCTCCGGCTCGACTTACGGATATCCTGAGGCTGCCCGGCTTGAGTTATTTAAGCATGGCTCTGCGCCGCCTACGATATGAGCCCAGAACCCGAGCCTGAGCTGAGCCGTGACTAAGAACACCGGCCTCGGGATACGTGGGTTGCCGTACATTGCAGCAAAGGGGTCGTCCGGTTGAAAATGTGACCGTCTGTGACGTTTTGAAAAAAAAAAAAGGTTTAAACTGGAGGGCATTTCCAACCCGCTGTCGAGTAGCCTCGCTCCGTTGGGCGAGCAGAGTCGTCGTGTGTGCGTTTGCCAGTTGAATACATTTCTTGGATCACTCTCCCGCGTAGGAGCCCGCTGTGGCAAGGCATGGTGCAGTTGCTCCCTGCTCTGGTTTATGAACGATGTAAGTAATAGGGATGAGATATTTATCGTTGATGCTGTCCCGTGGTCACTACATGAGCGGGGGAGTGTGTGGCGATGGCCACGCATCGCCGATTGGCATTGGAACTCTGGGGGCGGGGGGTGGGGCAGCCATGGGCTAAGGCTGGCGGAGAACGGATTAGTGCTAAACTTTATGCTCAGATGTATTTTCTTCTCATTATTAAAAAAAACCCGATTTAAAAAAAGTATAAAAAAATGAATTGCACAAAGGTAATTGTGCGTGTACATATTCGAGATACGACGTCAAATTTGTAATTGTTTATAGATTTGCCTGAGTTGTATAGTACATGTTGCAGGATTTTTGGGGGGTACCTCTAGCAGGGAAAGGGGTATTTGGTTAGGTTATGGGTGGGGGGGGGGGGCAGGTGGGCTAGGCACACTGGGATTGTTTTTACTTGTACAAACTAAAAAAATCCACCCGAATCCAGGCTTGCGTTCAAGAGCCTCTCGATCTGCCCGGACGTCTGTCATGTACAGGATTGAAACGGCACGCCGGGCAGCTCGTGATGTTTGTTTATATAATAATTAGTCTAGAGACTGTGTTCAGGTGCGCTCGACAAACACAAATAAGCGTAACGCAAAAGGGGGGGGGAGGTGTTATTTTTTTGTCTCTTGAACACCCACGTGCTTACGGCTGTTGTAGCGTGAAGCAACTTAGCGTTGGTATTTACAAGTCTAGTTTTGAGCAGGTGCTGCGCGATCCGATCCACGCACTCTGGCTGGTGGAAACACAAAAAAAAACCTCCGCCACGTGCGTGAATTGAACGTCGCGGGGACGTCGCTACCGCGGGTGGCAAGAGAGACCGCGCCCGCGCTTGTGCCCTGGCGAGCGCGGACGCTGGAAACGCTTCTCCACCACCGTCATTATCGCCGCCTTACAATGAAACAGTATATTTATATATGAAACGCCTATAGCAATTCACTCTCCTGCCGTGATGTAACGGTCAGCACACTGGACTTGCAATCATCGCAGACGTCGCCGGTTGAAACATTGGGGCCGTTTCTTTAAATGCTCCCCCCCCCCCCACCACCACCTTTCCCCGCTTCTGTCCACCCATGGTGCGCGGTGGGGTGAATTGTGAGCATTCTCACATCCTCGGTGACATCTGGCCAGCGTGGAAGAGTAGGCAAAATTCTCCTCGAGAGGGGCTCCTCTCTAGAGCTCCTTCTCGCGTTGAGGCCCTTCCGCCAGCTTTGGTGTGAGCGAGCACTTGCAGGGCTGCGCTTTCACCTTTTGTCAATCCACTGCTGGAGCTGTTGTCTCTCTGGCAATGGATCTTCTTGGCCGCCTACTCCTGAAGAAGAGCCCCCGTCCGGCGCTACACCGCAGAATTTCACATCTCTGTTAAAGCTGGCGTCAACGATGATGGTGGTGTCGGTGTCGGTGGTGATGGTGGTCGTGGTGATGACGTTTGTGCGTTTCTCACTCCACGACATTAACTACGTGGGTGGGGTGAACACCCAACCCAAAATAACCGGCAGTCATCACCGCGTGAACTGGCTTGACCGTGACCGACCATCTAATTGGTGAACGCAATTAACCAGCGGTGCGCCACAGCTAGTTTGTGTCATCCCCCCCCCTCCATCCCACGTTGTGCTGCGGTGACGCAACCACAGGCGGCTACAACGCTGGGGCTCCGTGGGATGAAACGTTTGAGAGCCGTGGGCCTGCACCGCGGTTTGCGTCGACAGCGCTCGTCCCGGTGGACCGATTGGCTCCTGCCAGTGGTGGACATTCCACATTCCTATGGCAGGTGCCAGTAGATCCATTGGAAGACAGCTGTTAACTTACCAGAAAGCGTTGACTCGTTTTAGTCTAACCCGGAGGTATGAAGATCAAATTTTGCCGCCCCCCCCCAAATGGGATTTAAACTCAACCATCCAATTATTATTACGCTTGTTCATCAAGGGAGGGCCTCACTGAGTCTCGCGACTCTTTTGCAGAAGGGTCCTCTCAGTTTCGCGGTGTTGCGGAGACGGATGCTGCTTCGTGTTATCCCCCCCAGTTGAGTAATTAGCGGCGTAACTTTTCAAATTCGGACCCCGACGCCGGACCAACGCAGTGGGCCTCCAGAGTCTTTGCGAACGACCTCACCGGAATCGGCAAGGTTCCACCACGGGATGCGAGTGGCCCCCCTTTTTTTTTTTTTTTTTGAAACACACGGTCGGTACTAACTGCCCCCCGCGGCGTTAACCCAGGGCGGCTACCGCCGGATTGCGCGAACCGGGCGCTCTTAACACCCGCGCGGCGCCACCGTTCACATCCACTTATCGTCGTTTGTTGCCCGGAGACGAACGGTCAGCAAGCCAACGTACCCCCCCCCCCCCCCCCCCCCCCCCCACACAAACCCACCGTTGACGTCCAGTAGATAGCGTGACCACATACGCACGCACGCAGGGCTTTGTGACTTGCAGAGAGAACGAGGCTTAGGGTTCGCTCGCTCGCGCGTGTGGGATGCCCCAACCAGGCCTCGGTGGGCCCACCCATCGTTTTGTAATGGCAAACGAGATGATGATGATGATGATAATTAATGAAACAATTTTTTGTACGCTAAGGGGTGGTTAAACGATTTCAACAAAACGAGCAAAAACAGGCAGACGATGCACGACTTCACCTCGACTTTGCTAAGTACATATTATACTGTGTGTTGTATTTTTAAAAAGGCTGTTTTCATAATATTTGTAGTTTTGAGTGATTGTCGGACAGCCTATGGAAAGTAAATAATAATAAGATTCACTTGTTAACACAAGCAGTTATATACCTTGAGCCTGTGTGTTGACGTGTGTGTACATATACAAGTCCGCAAATTCGTTAGTACGTCATTTTAGCACCCTATGTTTATTTTTCTGCTTGGTTTACTGGTTTTTTACCTTTTTGAGGTGTCTCTTTTTTTCAATAAACGTACAAAACATAACCGCCGTGCTCGTCGAAGCTTCTTCTCGCACGACGCTGACCGCAAGCGGCAGCATCGGGACCCCTACATATGGCCATGCGGCCGGACGTGGGACAACGTGTGTTCATAAGAGGTTTTTTTTTAGTTAGATCGCGTAAATATATAAATGTCGTTAAAACCCGCCACCACCCGACACAGCCAACTAGTTAGTAAGGGTTGTCACATAAACAGAACATGCCAATTCGTCACTAGTACAGTACACCGGTGTCTTGGAGAGCCAAGCCACAACATTTACAATCTGACTGACGTTTTGCCAGTAATTACAACTAGCTTCATTGTCGCGAAAGCCTACGTGTTAAACGTTGTGTGTGTTACAGGCCAGACCTCGTTTAGCGCTCAAGATGCGTTCCCAGAGAAGTAAAAAAATATATTACATACCGCACTTCCCACAAGGCCTCAAAGTGATTTACATACAATGCTAAGTTACGGAGAAAACGTGGCACCAAACAGGGTGAGCCTTGAGACGCCATCTAACAAGTGTCGTGGACTCGGTGAACGCTCTAACGAATCGCCGTGGTGTATGTGGGTCTGCTCCTCGGCAGGCAGCCGTCTTCCGAGTGTGGTTTTCGCATTTGATCTGCTGCCACTGTTTACCACTACCGCATACACAGAGAGCGACGGGAAATCTGTAATTCTAACCAGAAACAAGCCCCCCGAATGACGACGTCTCGCTCCGGCACCCGGGGGCAACACGACGGGATCTTGGTGCGGAGAGAACACACACGAAAGGAAGGGGGGGGGGGGGGTGCTTATCCATCGTACACGCACCAGGCACAATCACTGCTACGTATGGCTGTGAAGTCTTCATGATGTCCCTGACGCATTTACACTTGCGGTAGTGCAGCTGCGGATGGACGGTGTGAAATACCAATTTAGCTTTTCGTAGAAGCTCGACAAGTCTTGTAATAACGGGCAAGCGGCGACCCGTGTCAGTTCTGATGAGGGTGCTAGACGGGCTGAGAAAGATTGATTGATTGAATTTTATTTGTTAACGTGGGTCAGAAACATTGAGCTAAAATGTTTTTTTTTTTACACAAAGGCACAAATTAACCGCTTCTGTATGGATGGTCAGAGATGGTGGTGAGATGTTAACGTCCTCGCCTGGTATATAGGAGTCCATGGGTTCGATTTCGACCCTGATGCCTGTATATTTGGAGTTTGCATGTCATCTCTCTCAGTCCGTGATAGTGTGGGTTTTTTTCTTATGGGGCATCCGTTTTTTCTCCCTCCATTGAGAATCAACACACGTTTTAGAGTATTTGGCTGCTTTGAATTTCCACACGACGACGATGATGATAAGCCACTACGTTGAGCTGTCATTTGTGGCCAGGTCGCTTCTGAAAGAACAGCTACATAGTTCAGTGGGCCTTACCTAGTAAAATAAACAATAGTTTACATATTCTTGGTTCTTTCGGTAAAGTCACGTAGAAGGGAAACAATAAAATAATAAAAATATAAAACAAAATTCCACGACGTTTCAACTGCAACACAAGCAATCATCATCAGGTGTGAAAACCACGGCAAGAAAATTTGAAAAAAGTGGCGGTTATTTTCAACGCTAGCACCACGGAGAGCGATTTGGCAGTTATTCAGATGAACGAGTCCATCTATGTTTGGAAATGAGGAGGGGGGAGACGAAAATAATGGATGCGGTCTGAAAGCGTGAACAATCAATTAAGACCCGAAATGGTTTATCAAATCCTTCCAATGATTGCTAAGCCAGAATCCATCTTCTCGGTTGAAATTGTCTCTGTTTGAATATGTGGATAGCCTCGTGAACGAATCTCTCATGGTAGCCAGATGGCTTGCAAAGAACCTCTGTCTTGGAGACGTCAATATCATGTGAGCCTACTAAATTATAAGAGTGATCTACCACGGCCGAGGTGTTGGTCCTACCGTATTTTAGGTCTGCTTTGTGTTCACGAATGCGGTCCGAGACATGTCGTTTGGTTTCTCCAATGTAACTACTACCACAGAGGCAACTTAGTTTGTAGACGCCAGGGTACTGTATGTCCGGAATCACATCTTTTACAGACGGAACCAGATCACAGATTTTATGTAATGTGTTGAATCGGACCTGGATCTTGTGTTTGTTCAAGATTTTGAGATCTTTTTTGTGATTCCCGCAATGTAGGGTAAAGTGATGGTTTTGAAAGGCTCCACAAGAGGGTCCTTCTTCATGGTTGGAGTGATAGCTTTGCGGATTGTGTAGTCCGAATTACCATTAGCCTTAAGAGCTTGGTGTACGTGCTTGAGTTCACTGGCAATGTGTTCCTGGTCGGATATGCATTGGGCTCTATGGTGCAGAGTCTTGATGAGGGAATTCTTCTGGGATGGATGGTGGTGGGAATCCGGTTTCAGGTAAGCATCTGTATGGGTAGCTTTCCTGTAGACAGAGTGGCTCATTGAAACATCAGGTCTCTTTTTTATTAGGACATTCAAAAAAGGTAGCTTGCCATCTTTTTCGACTTCCATGGTAAATCTGATGGCTGGGTGTATGGAATTGATGTGGTCGAGGAATTGGTCTAGAGCAGGCTGGCCATGTGTCATCCACGTACAATCATCAGGTGTGAAAACCACACCTAATGATGATTGCTTGTTTTGCAGTCGAAACGTCGTGAGAATTTTTTTATTTGTATTATTTTGTTTCCCTTCTACGTGACTTTACCGAAAGAACCAAGAATATGAATCCCTGCAGTCACGAAAGCTTTAAATCAAAATTTAACCGCCTCTACGGGGAGGGTTTCCACTTAACTTTGAGATCCTTCAACAAACTCCGGGATAAGAAGGCTCAGGTGATCGAGTCTCTCACCTTTCTGAAGAGATGCCGCGACTCTGGGGTAATACCAATCACATTTACACTGACCTCTGCTGCTGTAACTTCTTGTAATGCGAAACGAATTCTTTCCAGAACTAGCTTAGCTCTTATCTCAGAGAAAATCAGACTTATACGCACCGAACTAGATCAGTTAGACAAGACACTCTACAAATCACACATCATTGAAGGCAACGATGTCCACATCAGATTGGGAACATGTCGACAATATGACTGCCTCTTCAGCTGCCACTATGTCGACTAAATGTAAGGACAATCTGATTTCAAAATTTAACCTCCTCTCCAACAAAAGACTGGACCCACACACCAAAAAGCTAGTCGTTAACAAAGTCGTAATTAATCGCAGTAACAGTTCTATTTCCGATGGTCTGAAATCCGTTTTAGCTAAAGGTCTAAACTTTGCAGTCACACCTAAACACATACCAGTTAATGATATCATTGCCCAAGTAGACGTGGCTCTCCAGGGCCTGGGTCACATCGCTGCAGACGTAGCAAGATCTGAAATCGCTGCAACCCTCAAAAATGCTAAGATGCCAGCTAGCAACCTCAGCAAAGATGAGCGTTTTGAATTATATAAATTAAAAAAGAGGGATGACATTGTCATCCTCTCAGCCGACAAGGGCAATGCCACTGTCATCATGGATAAAAGAGAATATAACAACAAAATTCAAGAATTTCTCAATGATGGCAGCTATACAAAAATAAAAAGAGATCCCACCAACAGCCTCGTCATACAAACCAACAAAATAATTTCTGATTCAACCGCATTAATTGATCAAACCAAACAGTTCTCCTTGAAATATTCTGCTTCCAGGCCACCAAGATTATACGGCTTACCAAAAATACATAAAGCAGATACACCTCTTCGTCCCATCATCTCTACTATCAACTCCCCCACCTACAAAGTGGCTCGTTTTCTGTCTGAAATCCTGCGGCCATTCGCTGGAAAAACCACCTCTACGGTACAAAATTCTACTCACCTGGTATCGACAATTACGGGTATTTCCCTGTCCACAGACGACCTACTTGTCAGTTTTGATGTAGTTTCCTTATTAACCAAAGTTCCTGTACCTGACACCATCGCAATCATTGAAGACTTGGTTCATCAAGGACTAAACAGGGAGGTACCCCCCCCCTGGTGAGACACTGCTTAACCAATACATACTCCACTTGGAATGTAACTTTCTACAAACAAACTGAGGGAACCCCAATGGGCTTCCCCCTATCTCCGATTGTAGCCAACATTTTCATGGAGAAATTTGAGACTGACGCCATCCAGACTGCCACTCTGCCCCCAACCTTATGTAAGAGGTACGTGGATGACACTTTTGTCATCTGGCCACATAGCCGGCCTGCTCTAGACCAATTCCTCGACCACATCAATTCCATACACCCAGCCATCAGATTTACCATGGAAGTCGAAAAAAGATGGCAAGCTACCTTTTTTGGATGTACTAATAAAAAAGAGACCTGATGTTTCGATTTAAAGCTTTCGTGACTGCAAGGATTCATCTTCTTTGGTTCTTTCGGTGAAGTCACGTAGAATGAGAATAAAATAATAAAATAACACAATAAAATTCTCATGACGTTTCGGCCACAATGCAAGCGGCCGTCTTCAGGTGAAAGGAACAGACCTGTCGGGACGACAGAGCTTCAATGAACGATGTTAGGATTCGTAGCGACGTTTAAGCTGGTTGGGAGAAGTGAGGCACCTTGACAAAGGGGTTCCTTTCACCTGAAGACGGCCGCTTGCATTGTGGCCGAAACGTCATGAGAATTTTATTGTGTTATTTTATTATTTTATTCTCATTCTACGTGACTTTACCGAAAGAACCAAAGAAGAGACCTGATGGTTCAATGAGCCACTGTCTACAGGAAAGCTACCCATACGGATGCTTACCTGAAACCGGATTCCCACCACCATCAATCTCAGAAGAATTCCCTCATCAAGAGTCTGGACCATAGAGCCCAATGCATATCCGACCAGAAACACATAGCCAGTGAACTCAAGCACGTACACCAAGCTTTTAAGGCTAATGGTTACTCCGACTACACAATCCGCAAAGCTATCACTCCAACCATGAAGAAGGACCCTCTTGAGGAGCCTTTCAAAACCATCACTTTA